CTTGGTGGTAAAGAATCCGCCTGCCAATGCAGGAGACACAGGTTCCATCCCTGATCTGGGAAGATTCCACATGGCCTGGAACAGCGGAGCCCAGGAACCACAACTACTGAGCCTGTGCCCTAGAGCCCGGGAGCCGCAGCCATTGAACTCTGCAGCCGCTGAAGCCCTCGCGCCCCAGAGCCCGTGCTCTGCAACAAGGGAAGAAACCACACCCAGAAGCCCGGACACGGCAACTAGAGAGTAGCCTCGCTCGTTGCGACCAGAGAAAGCCCACGCAGCAGTGAAGACCCAGCACAGCCGAAAACAAAGAAATAAATGATTAACAAAGCCCCCTTCCAGGCAAAAACGGAACATCCAGCTGTCTGTTTATAATGCTCTGTCCGTGCAGATGCCAAATACATTCTACATTCTTGACCGAGTGCATCCGACTCATTAGCAGTATTTAACACTACATCTATTGCCCAGAGACACCTGGTACATCCACAGAAAGTGAATAATTGTGAGGATTGAATGAAATTACGGAGAAGGCAATGGCAACCCACTCCAGTACTCTTGCCTGGAAAATCCCATGGACGGAGGAACCTGGTGGGCTTCAGTCCATGGGGTCGCTAGGAGTCAGACACGACTGAGCGCCTTCACTTTCATGCATTGGAGAAGGAAATGGCAACCCACTCCGGTGTTCTTACCTGGAGAATCCTAGGGACAGGGAGCCTGGTGGGCTGCCATCTATGGGGTCGCACAGAGTCAGACATGACTGAAGCGACTTAGCAGCAGCAGCAGAATGAAATTAAGCACCCCGGATCAGAGAAGGTTTTGCGCAAGGAAAAGGCACAGCTGTTGCCCTTTTAAAAGGTGAAATGAGACTAACTGGATCATCTGGAAACCAATTAGACTGAAGTAGGCAAAAGATATCCTGTTTGGCTAAAAGAGATACATTCTCTGGCAGAGGGGAGAAAGAGCTTTGTCTGCACAGAATGTGACATCAGGAGTTGGAATTCTGTGGATACAAGCTTTAAGGTTTCCTCTCCCTGTCTGATGACAGGGGACATTTTGAGGGCAGATGCTGAACCTGAATTAGAGGTTGGACTTTTCATGTGCAAGAGAGCCTATAACTAGGTCTGACTGCCTCATGAAAATTTCTGTTGTCTCTTGCAAGGCCACATTCTTTGAAAATAAAATGGATTTTATACCTAATTCTATTTAGCAGTCTATGTGGCTATATGCTCAACTCAAATGAAAGCCGTAATTATGCTGGAGTGGAAGGATCATGTACAGAGCTAAGTGTCCTTTCCACATTCAGCACATAAGGAAGGCAGGAACCGTGAAAAAACCTGAGCACTAACATGTATCTATGCAAATGCTTCATCTGTAAGGGATTGGTTGAACTAGGGACACCAGCTGTTACCTGTGGTGGGTGAAATTAACCAGTCCTTTGGGTGGAGGGTGTGAAATTGACCCAAAGGCCTCATTAGTAACGTTCTCTCACCACCAGATCTCAATAGCTGTGGAGCAAAACAAGGTAATGTGTGCACTTTGCAGCATCTCATATTTGATGCGGTAAACAGCAGAGAGACCAACAGTCAACCAGAGAATCCGAGTATCCTACTGTATTTCCAGGGCCTGTCTCAGTGCCTGGTGCTTGCCGGGGCTCAGTAAATATGCCATACAAGTTGGCCTTGAATAACAGTGAGCTCATCTCTTAGTTATTTCCAATCTCTGTGGAAATGGGTGGGCATCTTGGGGAGATTCTTGGGTGGCAGAAAGCTACTACAGGATGGAGGCGGACATGCTCTCAGCTCTCACCAGCCTCCAAAAAGGATGCCCACTGTGGGGGACCCAGGATCTGAGCACTCAGGCCAAAGCAAAGCCCATGGGGGCCTCACAGGGGCCCCACCCAAGTGGGTGCTACCTCTTCTCAAGACAACCAGAGAAGAAGGGCTGCCCTCAAGTTACCTTGGAGGAGCAGCCATGTCATTTTACCTTGTGGCTTCCTCTCTCCTCCTGAGGGTCCTCCCTCACATCTGTGCCTTTCCGCTTTCTCCATCAGCGGTGCTTCCTGGCACTGCCTGAAACCTGCCCCAACCTGTTCCTCGCCCACACGGCTGGCATCCCATGCTTGCTCCATGAAGGGGCCTCCACAGACACTGTTCCCATCAGTTCCTGTCTTGAGAGAGGCTGACGTGGGGTCAGGCTTTCCAGGTGGTACAGTGGTGAAGAACCTTCCAGTCAATGCAGGAGACCCAGGTTCAATCCCTGGGTCAGGAAGATCTCCTGGAGAAGGGAACAGCAACCCACTCCAGTATTCTTGCCTGGAAAATTCCATGGACAGAGGAGCCTGGTGGGCTACAGTCCATGGGGTCGCAAAGAGTCGAACATGGCTGAAAGGACTCAGCATGCATGCACGGCGTGGGGTCAGCTGTTCCCTGCTGGGTGACTTTTTAAGGCAGCCAGTCCTTAAAAAAGGACCTTCAGCTGAAAAGAGAAATAGGGCAGACAGCAGCCCCATCACTTAATTACAAGTTCTTCCCACATATCTGCCCATCCTACTATTACCTTCCTCCCAAAAAACCTCCCCAAGTTTCAGGACCAGGGTGATCCCTGGCACAGCTCAGCAAAGAAGAGTGGGTACCATCCGGGGTCGGCTCCACTGACCTGGTCAAAACTCAAGGCTCAGACCCTGCAATGAACATCCTGTGATGCCTCCACTGGGACTGCCCTGGAACCTTCCCCTGACACCCTGATGATGGGGTCCCCCTGACAACTGCATCACAGTGCTGTCACATGGAAGGCACTCTCTGTGGACTGAGACTTTGCTCTGCTTCCAGAAATGGTTGTCAAATGTACATGTGCTGTTATTGCTGGTGCCTGGTTTCTCGTTTTGATCTGTTTTTGACATTTTTAGAAATTTTGGTAGAATACACCTCAGTTCATTTCAGTCACTCAGTCGTGTCTGACTCTTTGTGACCCCTTACACTGCAGCACGCCAGGCCTCCCTGTCCATCACCAACTCCCAGAGTTCACTCAAACTCATGTCCACTGAGTCGGTGATGCCATCCAACCATCTCATCCTCTGTCGTCCCCTTCTCCTCCTGCCTTCAATCTTTCCCAGCCTCAGGGTCTTTTCCAATGAGTCAGCTCTTCACATTCAGCTTCAGCATCAGTCCTTCCAATGAACACCCAGGACTGATCTCCTTTAGGATGGACTGGTTGGATCTCCTTGCAGTCCAAGGGACTCTCAAGAGTTTTCTCCAACACCAGTTCAAAAGCATCAATTCTTCGGTGCTCAACTTTCTTTATAGTCCAACTCTCACACCCATACACAACTACTGGAAAATACACACAGAACATAAAATTTACCATTTAACCATTTTAAAGTGTACAATTCAGTGGCATTAAGTACTTTTACTTGTGATGCAACTATTGCCACTATTAATCTCCAGAACTTTTTCATCATCACAAACTGAAACCTTGTATCCACTACACAACTCTCATTCTCTCTTCCCCAGCCCCAGTATATATATACTTTATATATAATTCTTTGGTGATGAACAGGGAAGCCTGGCATGCTGCAGTCCATGGGATGGCACAACTCAGTGACTGAACTGATACAATTGTTTATATTTAATATATACTCTTTATCTTTACTCTTTTTAAAAGAACAATAGCAGTCTCAATGAGTATGGCATGGTAAATCAGCACGGGTTTTGATTTGCATTTCCCTAACGACTAATGATGTTGAGCATCTTGTGCTTATTGGCCATCTGGATATCTTCTTTGGGAGAACAAAATTCTTTGCTCATTTTTAACCGGGCTATTCTATTGTTCTTATGGCTTCCCTTCCCAGAAGGTAAAGAGTCTGTCTGCAATGCAAGAGACTTGGGTTTGATCCCTGGGTCGGGAATATTCCCTGCAGAAGGGAATGGCAACTCACTGCAGTATTCTTGCCTGGAGAATCCCATGGACAGAGGAACCTGGTGGGCTACAGTCCATGGGGGTCACAAAGAGTTAGACATGACTGTTCTTGTCATTCAGCTGTCCAACGTGTTTTTAATCTAGACGAGAAGTCCTTCCTGGGACTTTGGAGCCGTCAGTGGCCCAAGTAACAGTGGCCTGACTGAGCCTGTGTCCCTGCCACATGCCCTACATTTATGGGCTGCTTAATACTTAAACACACATGCCAGGTAGAGAAGTGGGGTTAGGAGACAGCAAACAACTGGTTTCCCCAAAAGGTAGTAATTAAATAGTTCTTGAGGGAAGGACTGCCAAGGCAGGGCTGCAGGTCCAGGGGCTCGTCTAGGGCAGGGGGTCTCATTAGGCTCCAGTTGGAGTCGCCCCCACCTCCCCTCCCTCCAATTCCCAGCACCAGAGGTTCTCACCCCAGGTCGCAGGTTAGCATCACTAACCTCTGAGGAGCTTATAAAAGCGGGCTTGAGCAGGCCTTCCCCTCAAACCCCAGACCCTTGGGAGGCCGCATCTTTGAAACGTGCCGAAGTAACTCCAAAGCGCAGACAAGGTTGAGGAGCACCGTTCATCAGATGCCCTGACCTGACTTGAACTCGGTGCGTGCACTGGGTTTTCTGTGTTGCAACCTTGTACCATTGGTTGGAAGCGGGAGAGCGCCACGTGTATTTCTGTTCTACCGTCTTTGGATCCTGGGAGAGGCGAGGTTGAGGACACCGCCCCTCAAACCTTCCCAGCAGGCGCAGGGCGTGGCCCAACGCCACCACAGGCCCGGGGGTCCCCAGACCCCTCACGGCCCGCAGCAGCCCCCACCCCGCGCTCTCCAGCCCTCCTCCAACCACGCGCCCCCCTATTCGCGCCCCGCCCCCGAGGTCCCCCGCCCCTGCCCAGACCTCCACGCGTGCCCTGCGGACCCCCGAGGTCAACCCCTCGCTGCCCCCGCGCCCCCGCGCGCCTCCTCCCGACCCCCGCGCGGCCGGCTCTAAAGTAAACACCAAGGAGCGGCGGCGGCCCGACGGTGCCGCTGCGGACTCGCCTTCTCGGAGCCGCGGGCGGGTCTAGCCATGGCCGAGGGCATACCGGCCTCCCCGTTGGGCCGCGCAGGCGGCCGGGGCCTGCACAGCGGCATCATCCAGTGGTGAGCGTCCCCCCGGGGCGGCAGGGGGCCCGGCGGGTGGGAGGGGAGAGCGGGGCGAGGAAAGGGGGCTCAGCTCCCTCCGCTGCTGCCCCTGGGACCTCCGGCCAAGTGCCGGGGGCCACTGCCTGCGCCCGGGGCAGATAAAAGGCTGGAAAGGACAGCCGTTCACACGCAGGAAGGACCAGCGCTTTCTAACGCAGGCGGGATGGGTCTAGACACACACACGGTGGGCCGTGTGGTTTTCCCACTCACTGCTGGTGGGATGGGACTACACACACACACACTATCGGTCGTTTGGGTTTCCCACCTGGGGGCTCCCTGGTTGGCCTCTGTCACACACACGCACACCATGGACCATGGGGGTCTCCCACCTGGGGGCTCCCCACGTTGGTCACACTTCCCTGCAGGAAGTAATCCAGCCCGCCCTGAAGGGGCTTGTTGGTGGGTCTGGGCTTCCGTGTACATGGACAGCACCTAGCTAGCCCACTAGAGGAAGTGTGTTTTCTGAATGTGCCATTCCGGCCTGGGAAGTTCTCTAATTTAAGGCAAAGCCGTTTTTTTTAGCGCTGACAATGCGCTCCACATTTGCTTGTGAAGTTCACTTCTGGCTATTTAAATAGAGGAAGAAGAAACCTGAAGAAAAGCACTGCCAACCCTTGGGACTGATGGACTCGGGGGTTTGTAGCTCTTCCTAAGTAATAAAATAATTGAAACCAGCCCTAAAACCTTCCCTTTAGAAGGTGAACAATGAGTAGACAGCTGATTACTTCTCTTTTTAAGGTGTATTTCTCAAGAAAGACTTTCTGAAAAGTCTCAGTGGGTGAGATAGAAAAATGAACAGTGTGTTTGTGATTGGAACCCAAAAAGTCTTAATTGGTCACCACTTTTCTCCAAAAGGAGATTCTTGATGTCTTTTCTCTGGCATAAGAAAGAAAATCAAGAGAATAAATATTTTTAATGTTTTAAAATAATTTTAAAATATTGAAAACAATAACCACAGCACACACAGTATTTTCAAAGTGTTACACCTCAGGACTCTGCTTCTTTCACACTTACTCAGACCCCTCATCATATCAGCAACCTCCTTACAAAAAAGGGCTCTGAGGAGGCCGTTGTCAATTTTCAGGTCACCCTTTAGTCAGTTAGACTTTCTAAAACTGGAAAAAGTCTAGAGACTATAAAGAATGATTAGAGATTCAAAAAAAATACCTGGACCTTCTCCTCAGGTCATTTGTAAACTGGTGGGATGCAGGATGCCCACAAAGCTGGTGCCCTAAAAGCAGGGTGGTGTTCAAGTCCTATGTCACCAGTTCTGCCCCTGCAGGCCTGGGATCCTGGGGTGGGGTTGTGCTCTTCAAGCTTGGGAGGGCAGGAGGTGAGGAGGGGCAGAATTTTCCCAGGAGGACTGCTCTTTAGGCATCCAGTCTATGAGGTGCTAGAGAAGACTCTTGAGAGTCCCTTGGACTGGAAGGAGATCAAACCAGTCAATCCTAAAGAAAATCAACCCTGAATATTCAGTGGAAGGACTGATGCTGAAGCTCCCATACTTGACCACCTGATGCAAAGAGCTGACTCGTTGCAAAAGAAACTGATGCTGGGAAGGATTGAGGGCAGAAAGAGAAGGGGATGACAGAGAATGAGATGGTTGGATGGTGTGAAGAAATTAGAACCCTTGTGCACTGTCGGTAGAATGTAAATTGGTGCAGCCACTATGGAAAATTATAGCGATTCCTCAAAACATTGAAAGGAGAACCACTGTGTTATCCAGCAATTCCCCTTGAAAGCAAGGATTGGAACAGATATTTGTATCCCCATGTTCATAGCAGCATTATGCACAATAGTCAGAGATGGAAGTAACCCAAGTGTCCCATCAATGGATGGATGGGTAAACAAAATGTGGTCTATACATACAATGCACTGTTTTTCAGATATAGAAAGGAAGGAAATTCTGATGCAGACAGCAATCTGGATGAACCTTGAAGACATTATGCTAAATGAAATAAGCCAGTCCCAAAAGGATAAACGCTGTATGATTTCACGTATATGAGGCACGGAGAGGAGTCAAATTCGTTGAGACAAAAAGAAGAATGGTTGTTGGCAGGGGCTGGGGGGCTTCCCAGGAAGTGCTAGCAGTAAAGAACCTGCCTGCCAATGCAAGAAACTCGAAGAGATGAGAGTTCGATCCCTGGATCAAGAAGGTCCCCTGAAGGAGGGCACGGCAGCCCATTCCAGCTTGCCTGGAGAATCCCATAGACGGTGTAGCCTGATGGGCAACAGTCCGTAGGGGTCACAAAGAGTCAGACATGACCTAAGTGACTTAGTATGCACACGCGCACACACGGGCAAGGGGAGGGGATGGAGAGTGTTTCTGGCTGGTACAGAGTTTTAGTTTTGTGAGACAGCCAGAATCCTCTGGATGGATGGTGATGTACAACAAGGCATCAACAATTTCACAGTAATGAGAAGATACTTAATGGCACTGAACTCTGCAGTTTAAAATACACTCTATGTTATATACATTTTATCAGAATTTTTAAAAATGAACAGTTAAAAAACAAACAAAACAGAACCCCTCCGTTTGTAACAGAGCCAGCCTGGTGTCCTGGAGGATGTTAGAAGATGGTCTTTGCAGATGTAGCCAGTTAAGAGGAGATCTCACTGGACTTGGGGGCACTGAGGGGAGCATCCACAAGCCAAGGAAGGCCAAGGGTTCCTGGCGTCTGCAGCAGTGAGGAGGGAAGGACAGAGCACATGCTCCTCAAAGCCTCAGGAGGAACCGACTCGGCTGACACCTGGTTTCCGGACTTTCAGCTTCCCCAACTGTGACAGCATATATTTCTGTTGCTTAAAGCCACCTGGCCTATGGTGATTTGTTACCTAAGGAAATCAAGACAGGGTCAAAGCTCCCCTCCATCCCCATATGTTGACTTTTCCTCCTTCCACGAAGCAGATGGGATTAACAACTGTGGCCTTTAGCTTGCAAGGAAAATCAGTTTAGGCCTCAGTGTGCCTCATCCCAGAAAATAAGCCATAGGTCATCAGTAAGAAGGGAGATGCATTGTTGGTAAAGTGTTAGTCGCTCAGTCATGCCCGACTCTTTGCAACCCCATGAACTGCCATCCACCAGGCTCCTCTGTCCATGGGATTTTTCCAGGCAAGGATACTGGAGTGGGTTGCCATTTCCTTCTCCAGGGGATCTTCCTGACCCAGGGATTGAACCCGGGTCTCCTGCACTGCAGGCAGATTCTTTACCAACTAAGCTACAAAGGAAACTCACATTGTTGGTAAATTCCCTGCTAAAAAATGCTTCTGTGTTTTAAGAACTGTGCTGGCTTCACCAAGGAGGGAAAGTCAGTGGGATGAATTGGGAGATTGGAATTGACCCATATACATTACTGATACTATGTATAAAATCGATAGCTAATGAGAACCTACTGCATAGCAGAGGGAACTCTATTCAGGGGTCTGTGGTGACCTAAATGGGAAAGAAATCCAAGAAAGAAGGGATATAGGTATACATATAGCTAGTTCTTTACCGTCTGAGCCATCTAGTTTCAATCCTTAGGTCAGGAAGCTCCCCTGGAGAAGGAAATGGCTACCCACTCCAGCGTTCTTGCCTGGAAAACCCCAGGGACAGAAGAGCCTGGTGGGCCACAGTCCATGGGTCGCAACTAACACTTCATGGCCAGTTCACTTTGCTGTACAACAGAAACTTATGTAACTGTAAATCAACTACACTTCAATACAAATTAATTTTTAAAAATGAATCAAAATATAGTGGCTGCCCTAAGTCACTTGGGTTTAAAAGTTATGTAAACAACTGTTTCAGAGAAAGAGGGGAGGGGAGGGCTGTGCACACATGTCCCAGGTCACAGGCACATGGGCACTGGGAAGCCACATGGGCCCCAGCTGTCACCCCCAGAGGTGTTGACTCTATGGGGGGAGGGGGAGTGGCCTTGTTTTGTGTCCTGGTGAGTAAATAAACCTCTATGTCATAGTTACAGAGATCTTGGCTGCCACCTTTGTAAAGTTACACGAATCAGTGTCTGCTGAACGCAATAATTTGGGCTTCTTTTTAATATGCCTGCACACATAAAAGATATAAAAGCAACAATACTGCACCATGTTGGAAGTCCAAAATCACAATCAACATATTGATACTTAACTCTGGGCTAAGCACAAAAGGGTACATTGCCGATACTGACAGATGAACCATTGCATTCATTCAATAAATTAAGCATATTTCATTGTTAGATCCACCCTTGTCTCTGACCCTCATCAAAGCGTCCCGCTCTAGAAACACTGATGCCAACCTCCTCTTCCTGCTCTTCCTCCCCACCCCACCCCCAGGTTGGTTGACAATTTCTGCATGTGCGAAGGATACAGTGTGCCTCGCTGCCTCATGTATGAGATATATGTGGAGACCTGTGGGCAGAATGCTCAGAACCAAGTCAACCCAGCCATGTTTGGGAAGGTATGTTGTGAAGATAAAAATACAGTGTCCACTGAGTTAAAAAGTATGCAAGTTATTAACAATCGATGAGGAAATGCTGGGATTTATTTGAGTCTAAGTGGATATAACCAGCTTCACCCTGGAAACCAGCCAGATGGTTAGCCTACTTCCTCACACCTTCCCAAAGCCTTCCCATCCTTTGTCCACACTTCATAGTGAGGGGCCAGGAAAGGGAAGGGGTGGGGTTACATTCACCAGAGAGAATACAGCTCTGGCAGCCCCAGACACCCCCAGCGCCCAGCCAGGCTTGCCGGGTCACTGTTAGCTGCATGGACATGCCACAGCTCAGGACCCCAGAAGCGCTAAGAGCTGCCTTGTGAGGTCAAACAGCTGATCCTTCCCACAATTTGCTCATATCTAGAGAACTCTTGGGTTCCCAAAGGTTTCCTCTGGAGGTGAAGAGCTCTGTCAGGGGCTTTGTTTAGACCACACAGTAAGCATCTAACGTTAGCGCAAGGATGGCCCATCTGAGACCCTCTACGTCCAACAAATATTCATTTGAGCAACTGCTACGGCAAGCACTGTTTTAGATGCCGAGAGTACAGCGGTTAACAGAGAACAGAGAGAAGTTCCTGCCTTCACTGCACTTATTATTTTTTAATTTAAATTTACTCTATTTATGTATTTATTTTGTCTGCATGTGGGCGTTCTGTAGTTGCAGCAAGCCAGGGTCACTCTCTGCTTGTGACGCTCGGGTTTCTCAATGCAGTGGCTTCTCTTGTTGCAGAGCATAGCCTCTAGAGCACAGGTCAGTCGTTGTGGCACATGGGTTTAGTTGGTCTGTGGCATGTGGAATCTTCCCGGACGGACCAAGGGTCAAACCCATGTCCCCTACCTTGGCAGACAGATTCTTAACCACTAGACCGCCGGGGAAGTCTTGCGTTTATTATCAATATATTATAGTTGATGGAGACAGATAAAGAATATAGAATATATCGTCTATTAGATTGTGTAAATGCTGAGTAGAAGGAGTAAAGTGTCCGTGTGTGTGTCTGTGTGCGTGTGTATATGGGGGTGTGTGTTAGGGGAAGGCCTGTAATTTGAGGGGAGGCAAGAAGTAACATTTGAGTCCAGACTTCCAGAAGATGAAGCAGTGAGTATGGGGCTATATGAGCAAAGAGCAGAGCGGGCAGAGCCCATGTAAAAGACGCGAGGCAGGAGGGGGCTGACACAGCAAGGAGGCTGCAGTGGTTGGAGGGCAGAGACCAGGGAGAGAGGATCAGAGGCTCAACTGTGGGAGGTGGGAGAAGCCCAGGTGTGTAGGGGTCAAATCCTGGGTGTATTTGGAAGACAGCCGGTAGGATTTGCTGATGGGAAGAATTAATAGAATCACAGAGCTTAATTGTTATTAAAATAACAATAATAACTTTCACATTGCATCATATTTACTTTCAATCTGGTTTTCAAGAATAGACAGAATCCACTGAAAACAAGTTAAAAGGAGAATTTTGATTATTATCATTTTTTTAATTTTATTTTGGCTGCACTGGGTCCTCATGGTGGCATGTGGGCTTCTCTGATTGCAGTGCTTGGGATTCATTGCCCTGTGGCGTGTGGGATCTTAGTTCCTGAGCAGGGATCGAACCTTCATCCCCTGCATTGGAAGGTGGATTCTTAACTACTGCACCACCAAAGGTCTCAAAAGGAGAATTTTTTTAGAGGGATATCTCATTTAATCCAATCGCAAGAAGTTTGACCAGACCTCATGGAATCTAATCTAGTGCTGCCCAATAGAAATGTAATAGGAGCCAGATATATAATTTTTAAATATTCCAGATCCTCCTTTTAAAAGTTTTTAAGGTGAAATTAATGTTATAAATTTTAAATTTCACCCCAAATATTCAAAATACTATTGTTTCAAGATGGAATCAGTATTTAAAACTCACTGAGTTGCTTTGTTCATTCTTCATGTTCCATCTCAAAAATCAGATGCGTTATTTTACACGTTGCTGTTGTTCAGTCACCATGTTGTGTCCGATTCTTTGCGACCCCATGAACTGCAGCACACCAGGCCTCCCTGTCCTTCACCATCTCCCGGAATTTGCCCAAGTTCATATCGCTTGCATCAGTGATGCTGTCCAGCCATCTCATCCTCTGACGCCCTATTCTCCTTCTGCCCTCAATCTCTCCCAGCATCAGGGGCTTTTCCAGTGAGTCATCTGTTCCCATCAGATGACCAAAATACTGGAGGTTCAGCTTCAGTATCAGTCCTTCCAGTGAGTATTCAGAGTCCATCTCCCTGAAGATTGGCTGGTTTGATCTCTTTGCTCTCCATGGTACTTCCAGGAGTCTTCTCCAGCACCACAGTTCAAAGGTGTTAATTCTTTGGTGTTCTGCCTTCTTTACCATCCAGCCTCACAACCATACATGACTACTGGGAAGACCGTAGCCATGACTGTATGGACCCCTTCCATGTACAGCCCATCAATCAGACCAGCCCATTTCAAGTGCTCAGCGGCCACATGTGGCTGGTGGGTCCCCTCTCAGACAACCTAGACTGGATTCTAAGTCACCAGGCATCTCCTCTCTCCCTCTGGTGTGTCTGTAGACCACAATGGTGCTGCTTCTCCTTCCAGGCCTGCTCCAGGCCCCATCCCAGAAGCCAGCTTTCTCCCCCGGTGTCACGGTTTCCCACGATGGCTGCTTGTATGGTGCTTGCTTCCCAAGGTGCTTTACTTGACCTTCTGCCCCAGGGCCTGACTCTTAACAATCTGCAGGCAAAAGAGGCCTGCAGGAAGGATGGGTGGGTGGGAGGAAACGGTCGGCATCTTTAATGCTTGGTCTTATGACAGCCATCAGCCAAGGCAGGTAGAATTAGAAGTCAAGGAACAAACAAAAAATGACTAAGGTCAAGGTTCCCACAGCCTACTACAATGCTTGGGCAGTTGACTTCATTATGGACTTCATTCAATCGACTTCATTCAGACCTCTTTCCACCTGTTATTCCCTCAAAAGTATCCTTGTACTTCCAAAAGACCTTGGAGGTCACTGGTCCAACTGCATAGCCAATGACAAGCCCTTCAAAGTCACCTCCAGCTGGGAGCTCTGTATGAGAACAGAATGCCCTCTTGGGGCAGAGGCAGGCCTGGGACTCAGAGCTATGAGGGGGCAGCGTGTTCCCATGTGTCTGTTACAAGGAAGTGACTCTTCCCCTGGGCAAACAGCCCTCCCCCAGGATCTGTGTTTGACAAGCAGAGCACAGGCAGACGGAAGGCTGCCTGGCTCCTTGCAGGCCTTGGGGCAGCTCACAGCCTGCAGGATCAGACCCCCGCAGGAGCCCCCTAGCTGGTGCTGCAATGTCCTGGGGATAAGGAGCCTGCTCCTGGGCCACAGAGGTGTCAGTCCAGCTTCCCTCCAGTTTCCAGTCTTTCTTCCCTTCCTGTCTGCCACCTTTCTCAGTGTTCCTCAGTGGACAGAGTGGAACTGGCTCCTGACATGCCCTCACCTTCCATCCACTCACAGCCTGATTCTCTCTGGTTCTTTTGTTCTTTTAAACAACATGGTAAGCATCTGTGAATCCACCACCCTGTAGGAACCATGTGGCCAGAAACCCCTCTCCCTGCCTTCCCCAGCTCCTGGGAACCATCAATCCCTTTATCATTATCTTGCCTTGAAATTTTTATTTTTTATTTTTTTGGCTGCATTGTGCAGCATGTGGGAGCTTAGTTCCCCAACCAGGGATGGAACCCGTATCCCTGCATTGGCAGCGTGGAGTCTTAACCTGGACCCAGGGAAGTCCCTTTCTTGCCTTTTGAAAAAGAATCTTGGTACATTTATATCATTTCTTTTTTTCTTAAACTTTTGATCCCCTTAACCCATGCCCTACCCCTCCTGTGACCTCTGGCAACAACCAGTCTGTTCTCTGTGATCAGTGAGTTTTTTTGTTTGTTTGTTTTTAGTTTTGCTTTTGTTTTGTCACTGTTTTTTAGATTCCACATATAAGCAAGATCATACAATCTTTGGCGTTCTCTATTTGACTTTTTATAGATTGCATTTCTTTTAAAAAGCCCAGTTTTAATTTTTGTGGCTTGAACTTTTTTTAGAAGGAAGATCATGTTATGTATCATCTTTGGGGACCTGTTCCACTTACTGTTATGTCAAGACTCCTCTGCATTCATTTGATGGCTGTGTAATATTTCAGTTGACTTGTTAGCTCTCCTATTGATGAGCATTTGGGTTGGTTCCAGTTTTGCTGTTATGAACATTCACATGTGTCTGCTACTTTACACGTGGAGCTGTTCTCTTGGGCGTGTGCCTGGGGGTGAATTTGCAAGCTGATGGGTTCTTTGACATCATTTTCTGAAATGATGGTTCCCACTGGGCTCCCATGGGCAATTCTGTGAATTCCAGTGGTGTTTCCAAAGCACTGATATTCACTTCTCCACTGAATATTCTTGGCTCCCAACTTTTAACTTCCCTGCCTATTTGTTTCATTATGACTTCAATTTATTGGTGTTTCTCTTCAAAGATAGGTTCCCCAGGGGTACAACTCAGTGTCTCGGGAGGGCTCAGGATGAAGCTTTTATTTTTATGGTTTTTTTTTTTTACTTTTTTGGGTACTAACTTTTTATCCTTCCCTGCCATTATGTTGGTTTAAAGCTTGTGGTCAGCAAAAATAACGCTTCACTATTTTTTTTCCACACGAATTAGAAGTAAGGTGGCTCAGTGATGAAGAATCCACCTGCCAATGCAGGAGACACTGGAGATACGGGTTCAATTCCTGGGTTGGGAAGATCCCCTGGAGTAGGAAATGGCAACCCACTCCAGTATTCTTGCTGGGAAATCTCATGGACAGAGAAGCCTGGTGGGCTACAGTCCTGGGGGTCACAAAAGAGTCTGACAACACTGAGAGACTGGGCACAGGCCTCCCAAAACTGCTTTGTAAACTGTAAAACACTCCAGATAAATAGAATATTTTGTCCTTGTTATCAGATTGTTGTCAATGCAGATGGGTGTTGGAACCCAAGAGTGGCTTTTTCCTTATTCCAAGTTGTAGCTTCTTAGTTCTGACCTGCTGAATCTTCTAGACTCAGAGTCATCCAGCCATGTCAGCTGCTGAAGCTCACACGTATCCCTCCCTCGATAAATCAAAAGTGATGTGGGCACGAACGAGGTGTTAGGCTCTGGAGCTCCCTGGATGTCTCTGGGTGAGGTTTTCCAACCCACCAGGAACTCCCCAGCTGTCTTATCACTCAGCCCACATTTTGCCCTTTCATCACTCAACACACTGGGACATTTCCACTAAGGCTTTTGAGTCTGGGCATCCTGGCACTACAGCACTTTCCTTGTCTGGCAGCCTTATCAGATGGGAGCCGGGTGACTTGAGCTTGACACATTTGGGCTCTGGATCATCCCTGTCTCCTTTTTTAAGAAACCTAAGGCTCCTGTTCAAAACCTGTCTTCGATTTTCTTCTCAGTTGTTTTTCCTCCAGGGTGGTCCCACTGCAGTGTTCCGAAGGAAGTATAAAAAAGAGCCTCTGGTATGCGATGGAGGGCATTTGTCCAGTGTTTTTTATCTTCTGACTTCCCTTCAAATCCATCCCCCAAGACACTGGGGTCCTGGCTTTCAGTTCCTGTTGGGAATTTGCCCAGTGAATGAGCCAGTTCGGTGGTGCTGGTCTTGGAAAGGGACTCTGAGTTGCTGAATATGTGACTCAAAGAAGGGAGAGGAAGGGGAAAAGGATGTGATCCCAAAGCTTGTTTACAAGAGAAACAACAAAATACCCACTTCTCATTTCCTGCCTCCTCCCCTGGGAATGGAATTGATTCCAGGTTCCACACAAGTTCCTGTGCAGATGTTGGGGTGTTTCTCGCTCTGCTCCACAGTCCCGGGTACATGACGGGTCATCTCATTCCCAGTGCAAGTAACAGGCTTATGTGGATGAGGAAACTTCCCAAACGCTGACTTCCTTTTTTTTGAAGTAATATTTCCTGCTGCTTTTCTGATTATGAAATAATACATTCCCTTAATAGAAAATGTGGAGATTCGAGAAACGTGTACAAAAGAAGGCAAATGTTGGCCATGGCCTCATTGTCCAGAGATGCAGCCTGACCTCCCTAGAAATCCTTGGGCAATACAAAGCCCCATTGTCATGCTAGTTTGCCAGGGGGACCAGTCTAACAAGGTCCAGCCCCATGTGACATCCACACTCTGAGCTGAGGTTAAAGTGGAATGGTTTCCCCAATCCTCCAGCAAGGCTTCTCATGAGCAGACTACTAGGAATGGGGACCTCCTTTTCCTCCCTCCCCTCTCACGCCACCTCTCTGGGTTTTGGGAGAAGTAAAAGTGGATGAAAAATTTCTACCACACATCTTCACATTTGGGGGCTAGGCAGACCCTTGTCTCCTGGTTCCCCTCGTGGCTTCTGCAAGGCAACCCTTGAGAATATTCTAGAATGCATCCCTGGCTTTAGCGAAGGACTCATCCCAAAGCCTGACTGCCTATCCTGGGTCCTTGCTAGGCAGAATCTGGGGCCTCTCACCTGTCAGCTCTTTTTTTTCTGTGAGCACGATAAGGTCTGAAGGAGCCCTGAGCGAGCAAGGCTCTGAGGGAGGGCTGGGGGAGGGAGAGTCTGGGGGAGCACGGCTCTGGGGGAGCTGGAGTGAGGGAGGGTCTGTGGTCCAGGGGAGCTGTGATGAAGGGAGGCCCTCAGGGAGCGCTGAGGGACAGAGGGTCTGAGGGAGCTGTGAAAGAGAGAGACTCTATAGGATCTCTTGGTGAGGGGCTTTTTTGAGGCAGCTCTGAGTGAGAGAAGCTTTGAGGGAGCTGTGATGAATAGGCTCCGAGGGAGCGCTGAGTGAGGGTGGGTCTGAGGGAGCGCTGAGTGAGGAAGGGTCCTCGGGAGCTCTTGAGTGGAAAACGGGTGCGAGGGTGAGGGAGCTCTGGAGGTTAGCTGCTCTGAGTTAGTTCTGAGGAGGAGAGGGTCTGAGGGAGCTCTGAGTGAGGGTGGTTCTGAGGCAGCTGTGAGGGAGGGAAGCCCTGAGGCTCTGAGGAGCTCTTTCCTGTCACTTAAGTTTCGTGTCAGTTTAGGTTCTTCTTCCTTGATTTGGCCTCATGACTTTGGTGTTAATTGTGCCAGACCTAAAGCAATTATACTCCAATTAAAATATATATAAAGTAACTATGGAAAAAAATAATGTTCCAGACCTGCCCTCCCCTCCCTTTCTGAGCCTCCACACCTGGTCTGGCGTGGGCGGGGGAAAATGGGGAAGCCTTCCTGTAGGAAGAGGTAGGGTCTGAGGCAGGCAGGAGAAATGTTTCATGACACTCCAATCCTCCCACTTGGAAGCTGAGAATGAAAGAGAGAGGGAGGCAGACCCAGAGACATAGAGAATATGGAAGAAATCATCACATGGCCACCTGGAACATCCTGCCTTCCTGCTCTGTCCTTTTGTAATTTTACCAGGATACGGGATTTCCCTTTTCAACAGTCATGCACTTGGATACTATATTTGTCACGGACCTTTAGACAGAACAGACTTCTGGTTTTTAAAAAATGTAATTGGTCATAGATATCATATCAGTGCTAACAGAATGTACATCAGAAAGATAGTGGGTAGGGAGGGAGGTGGGAGGGAGGCTCAGGAGGAAGGAGACATATGTATACCGAGGGCTGATTCATGTTGATGTTTCACAGAAACCAACACAATACTGTAAAACAAGCATCCTTCAATTAAAAATAAATAATTTTTTTAAAAAAGATAGTGGGGATGGGGACTTCCCTGGTGGTGCAGTGGTTAGGACTCTACCCTCCCAATGCAGGTTTGATCCCTGGTCGGAAAACTAAGATTCCACAGGTCACTTGGCATGGCCAAAAATAAAAGAATAAATGATGGGGAGAGGAAACATTGAGTCAGAAATAGCTCTCATTTAATATTTTGTAACATTTGCTAGCAAAATCTTTCAAACGAAAAGTAAATGAATAAATTTTAAAATGAAAATGCCAATCACATTGGAAAAAGGAGACTGGCATGATGGACTGTTTTGCAGTGTTAGTAATTCCCTGTTTTTAGAGGATGTTTTTAATGACAAGGGGAAATGTTTACAGTACAAGGTAGAGGAAGAAAGTGGGAAGCAGGGCTGCTAACACGGGAGTTGTGATGATGCCCGTGTTTCCAGTGTAGACTTGGAGAAGCCGCTTGAACAGCGAGGCTTTGGGAAAAAGTCAGGTGTGAACTGCATTGGAGTTTATATGGTGTTTTCCTTGGAGTGGTGTGTTTCCTTCTTTATACTTGTCTGGTTTTTCCAAATTTCACTTATTTATATTTTCTTGATGATTAGAAAAGAGGGAATACAGTTTAAACATGGCAAGAGATGAAGCTGAAAGTTCTATTTCTAAATTTTCAAATTGCAACTTCAAGTCTAAATTATTCTTTTAGCTCGTACATTTGGTTTTCCCTGATCTTGGCACCCGGAGGCTGGGAACGAGAGGCAGTGCCAGGTAGGTTGATCATTTTGGTTTTATTCTAAATTTTAAAAAGATACATTCTGAAAAATCACAAAATGGATGACCAAAAAGTGAAAATCTAAACAAACTATAAATATCAACTCTTCCCAAAGAATTCCCATAATTAGATGAAATTCCCGGTGCCTGATACAATTCAGGTGATGCCAGAATCGAATTTGAGTCTCTACCTTCTCAAGAGATTGTGTTCAAGTACAAAAGTCACAGTGTATTTTTCTGTTTCAATACTTTCAGTGTTTAGACATGTAAATGTCTAATAGTTAAGTAATGATAGCACTAGAACAATAAAACTATTTTAATTACTCTTTGAACTAAAATTGCTAAGTGTTCCATCTAATTCGCATACTTGAATTATATTCAAGAGACTAAGATACCCAGGCGATATTTTTAACACAAAAGGAAATTCCAGCATTATCGGGTGCGTCCTGTTATAATTATCACTCAGTTGTCATTGTTACTTGTTGTTTGTTTTAAATCAAGAAAAATCAGGACAAATCAGTGAGAGCAAGAAATCACTAAGAAGGGACAGAAGCCCAGTTAGGGAAGGGCTTGCCAGCCATGAAGGAGTTGAAGGCATGGGAAGTGTTTGCCAAGTTAAGCACTGGGCAATAGTTAATTTGAAAAAAAGTTTTGTTGGGCTGCCTTGAGCCCATACAAGCTGCTGCCTTTCCTGGGCTTAGCAGAGGAAGAACCAAACTTCCTTCTGGGGGTTTGATAACCTGAGTCCATTCAGCAGAGGGAACACTGGCATTGGTCTGCATTTCTTTGAGAAGGTCGATGGCAGAGACGACAGGAGGCTTTCCCTGTGGCATCTCAGATTCAAGTGTCATAAGTCAGGAAAGCAGAGGAGGACATAACGCGAGCTTGTTTCAAATCCGGTGCATGTGAGATAGTATGAAGTGGTCCACCTACCAGAGCCCGGGCAGGCTGAATGGCTGATTAGCTTTTCCTTGATAAATGGGGTCAGTGATGAAACCCAGAGAACAGCTCTAAGTCTTCCTTGGCTAGTCTGTCCTGTCTCTTCTCTAAAGCCCACTTAGTGGTTGGACACCATCTTTAAGATGGTTTATTAAGATGGTGTTTAAGACCATATTTATTTTTCAGGTATCATTACGACGGAATCTGTATCAAGAGAAGTTCTTTCTTCTATGCCCAGTATTGCTACCTTCTGGGTGAAAAAAGGTGTCCCAGGTTAGTAACTGTCACTTAGGTGTTTTGGTCATAGGTCACAGCCTGATTCGTATTAGGACCATTTGTACTTGAGTTGACTCGAACTGGCTCTTTGGCTATTGTGCCATTCATCCTTCTTAAGGCTGGAAACGTGCCCATCACATCAGCATGCCCCCGACATGGGCAGCGCCAATCTCTGCCAACATCGTCTGCCAGAGAAATGTCTACTGCCTTCACTTCCTCAGTTACGGTTCATTTTCACCATCATCTCAACAGCCAGGGCCATTTTGCACTCTCTTTGTTCTTCTCCTCTGTCACATTTGACAGAATTGGCCACGTCCTTCTTGAAATTTCCTTTAGCCCTCAGGACTCTGCATCATCTAGTCCCTTCCCTAGAATGAGCCCTTCTTGGTCTCCTGACCTCTCCCCTCCCTACCAGGGCAGGCATCTCCCAGAGACCCGAAGCTTCATCATTAATGATGTTTTTCCTACACGTTGACCCCAGGACACCGCATTCTTTTCTGTCTTTCACCTACCGCTCCCTCCATGGACGAGTCCTCCTTCTGAATCACTTCTCCTGCTCCTCATCTCACCCACCCCCGGGGATGTTCTGTTTGGCCGTCTCCTGGATGTTTCCATCCAGAGGACCCACTGGTACCTCCCACTGAAGGTGTAGAAATTTAACTTAATTCTCTCCCTCCCGCCACCTCTGCCTCTTGACTTCCTCATTTCCATCTATGATCCCAAGAGATGGAACCTATGTAGAGGGTCACCCCAAAGCCCTCCCTGACTCCCTCGGGTCACAAGTCCTGTTAATTGTCCCCCCTTCTGGGTCTCCTGATGGCTCTTTCTGGTTACAGGTGTTTCCTGTATGTCCTTGTCATCTTACATCAAGATTATTTTCACGGGTCCTGTATAAACTCCCTCTCTTCACCTCACCACTATCTGAACACAGCCATGAGACTAACCTGCCCCCCGTTCTTCTGTTTTTCTCTTTCTTGCTCAGAAATCTCAGGAGCTTGCTCTTACCTCCTGCGTAGAGCCTACAGCCCCCTCTTCCCAGACTGGTGTCCGTCCCCAGCTCCTTCTGTAGGCACTTCTCATCCATGTTGCCAATTTCTCCCTAATGCACAGCCTTGGTTTCAGCCATGCTTGCTTTGCTCTGAGGACATCAAATGCGTGTCTGTCTTGGCTCCCATCATCCCGTCCTTGCAAGACGTCATACCTTCTCTCTCAATCCAGCTATCAATCCAACCGCTTGGATGAATCCCCAGGGAATTACAGAGTGGAAAAAACCATCTCAAAGGGTTCCATACTGTGTGATTTCGTTTATAAAACATATTGAAATGACAGAGTTTTTTTCTTTTCTATTTGAAGGGTAGTTGATTTACAATGCTGTGTTAGTTTTCAAGTATAAAGCAAAATGATTCAGTTACACACACACACATATATTATTCTCTTTCATATTCTTTTCCACTATGGTTTATCACAGAATATTGAATACAGCTTCCTGTGCTGCACAGTAGGACCTTGTTTATCCATCCTACATAATAGTTTGGATCTGCTAATCCCACACTCCCAAATCCATGCTTCCCCAACCCCGCTTGCCTTTGACTACCTCGTCTGTTCTCTATGTCTGTGTCCCTGTTCATATCTTGTAGATTAGTTTCTTTGTGTCCTATTTCAGGTTCCACAAATAAGTGATCTCATGTGGTATTTGTGAAAGGACAAAATTTCCTAAATGGACGACAGCTTCCTCCTTGCCGGGAGTCAGGGACATCGGGCTGAGGGAGCGGGGTGGGGTTACAGGGCAGAGCCCTGGTCACCTTGTGATGGAGCACACGCACTGCATCTCATCCGTGGTGTTGGGTGCAAACATTTCCATAGGTGAGCTACAAGCCCACATGCAGAAATGAGTTTAAGTAAAACTTGGGAAATCCGAGTAAGATCAGTGAGTTTGTATCAGTGTCAAAACCAGGTTGTGACATTGTACTAGAGTTTGGCAGGATGTCACCACTGGGGACGATCAGGCTAGGGGTGAAATGGAGCTCTCTGAATGATTGTTTTATTTTTTATTGGAGCATAATTGCTTTATAATGTTGTGTTAGGTTCTGCTGTACAATGAAATGAATCAGCCATAAGTATTCATACATCCCCTCACTCTTGGACCTCCCTCCTTTTCCCTCGCCCCATCTGCACCCCTCTAGGGCATCACAGAGTGGAGTAAGTCAGAAAAAGAAAAACAAATATCATATATTAACGCATATATGTGGAATCTAGAAAAATGGTGGTGATGAAACTGTTTTCAGGGCAGGATTGGAGACACAGACATACAGAACAGACATGTGGATGCAGCAGGGGAGGGGAGGGTGGGGTGAACTGAGAGAGTAGGATTGACATATATATACTACGTGTGTGACATAGATAGCTGGGGCCTGCTGTCAGCAGGGAGCTGCGCGCGGTACCCTGGATGATTTCTTACTCCTGCTACCTCCATTACAAATCATGCATCAAGCCTGACCCTCCAGTCCAGGAAAACATATGATGACAGGTCCTAGGAAGTGGCGAGTCTTACCCTGCCGACATCTTCTGCTGACATCCATTCCCCCGTCGGCAGTTAGGGTCTGGAATGTCCCTGAGTCTCAGAGCCCTCCTCACTCTGGCCTGTGTGTGTGTGTGTGTGTGTGTGTTAAGGGGCCGGTGTTGGGGCGGGGGGTGGGGGGTTGAACAGGTAGCACAGGTCTTCGCACGGTGCCCTAACTAAGCACCTGCCCCTCTATCCTCGCACACCTGGAAGTAGGCTGCCCCTCGGGCAGGTTGCTATGTCTGCCCAGGGCACACCCTCAGGTCCCGCTGTTAAGAGCTCGCTAGCATTCAGAACCCGGTGGGGATCCCCCAGCCAACCACAGACCAGCATCTTCCTTGTACCCCAGAGTGACAGCTCCAGTGAGCCAGGCACTTCTCTGAGGGTACAGCCAACTGAGGTCTGATTTACACTTTCCTGCTAATATTTGCCTCAGGAAGGAAAAGGCATCTGGATTTTTCAAGGGCATCGTTTTTTTTTTTTTTTTTTCTGGACCTCATGTTAAGGAAAGAAATGGAAACCACGGATGAGAGCATCAGCATAGAGATTTGGCTGGGAGCCAGGCTGGTGGCCAGCCGGAGTCCCTTAAGAGACTCTGGGGGATTTTTGCTTTCTCATCACTGCCACCACCAGGCACTGCAGAAAAAGCAGGTAATCTAATTAAGATCAGCTTAGTCTTGAGATAAGCCCCTGTCTCCTCCCTGTCTCCCCATATTGTCCCTCCGAGCCCCTTCAGAGGAGAAACTCTACTGTCAGCTCTCTGCCACTATCCACCCCGCCCTCTCCCCCATGCCAGCGGCTTAGCAGGAGGGCAGGATCCCTAGCCAGGGACCTCTTTCACTGGACTCCTCACAGGGGGTCCAGGAGCAAGCAGAACGGGAGTCCTGGTGTCAACAGCGTTTGTTTTCCCTGGAGGTGAGGGAGGGGCGGGCAGGGGGTGGACGACCGTGTTGTGGTGGATCCCACTGAAAACTGCTGAGGCAGCGTTTCCAAGAAGAGACCAAGACTTGATTTGCAAAACCAACGAGCAGCTTGAGGCTTTTTTTTTTTTTTTTAAGGAAAATGACTATAAATATGCAGTATGTTCCAAATGCAAAGGAGTCCTTTCCCAACTCCAGAGCACTTCCTGCCCTGCTCCCCTCTCCAGGGTAACATCTTTATACAGGGAACAGACCTCCCCAGATCCCAGTCTTGTTTAGCTGGCAGCCGGGCTAAGCCCTGGACCAGGGTCTAAGCGCTGACCTAGAAATTCTTGGAGAATGGAGGCCAAAGTATAAAATGCTCTGTTATCGTCAGGGGAAGGGGAGGGAAATGGAGAGAGAGCGTGTGAGTGGTTGTCACATCTAGAGAACCGGCTCTGCTTAACGTGTTTATTCTCCACCTCGTAAGCAACATTCCTGGCTGACATGTCACAAGGAAAACTTTGTCATTTTCCAAATAGATGAGTCCCTGGTCTGTCTATTGTGACTTTTGAGATTAGTGGGACAGAGGCCCAGGTTTCTCTCAGGACGTATGAAAACTAGCCCTTGCCCTCATCTGTCCTCAGTCCACACGTGTGCACACCCACAAACACACACACGCTCACTCACTCAGCTTTTCCAACTTAGCGTATTGAAAGCCTGTAAAAAGCTTCTAACACCGGGCCTTCCTGAGTTGCGCCTGCCTTTGTTCTCTGCGCCTTTGCTCCTCTGCCAGCTCATGAGCTCAGGGGGCTGCCCGGAGGCCTGCAGAGCCCAGGTCCTTGGGTCCGTGGCTGCCTGGTGCTGCCCAAGGGAGCAGAAGGGCTCGGGTTCATCTTTCACATTCATCACCTGGGGAGGCTGCGTTCGAGGGAGCCGTCAGCCAAGCAATGGTGGGCACCGCAGACCCAAAACATCACGGTGACTCCCGTGGAGTCCACGTGCCCCAGCACCGCAGGAGGTGAACCCTCCTGGGGCCAGCCCTCCCCACGCAGCAGAGCTCTGCTGAGTCCCGGGCGGCCTCCTTCTCAGGTATAATCAGGGGTCCAAGTTGCAACCCGCACTTGGCCATGTCCACCCTGTGCTTTGCAAGGCTGGTTAGAACTTGTTAAGGTTTTTTTAAAAAAAAAATAGGCATTACCTGGCTGTTGTCATAGGTGTGGAAGATCCCGCCCTGGACTGCACCCTTGCTGGGGGGAGGTTTGAAAGCAAGTGAAGCTCCCAAACCACCTCACCTGTTCAAAGCACCCCTCACATCCTTCTCTCCAGCCCAGACGTCCAGACAGGGCAGCGTGCCATCTGCCGAGGAGGCCTGGCTTCCGGTTGCTGTTTTCCCTTGTGAACGACTTAGACTTTCAGCAGTTTCAAAGGTGTCCCGTTAGATCATCATTTTGCAATTAAGTTGCTCATAAAAATCTAATGGGAATAGACTTAAGCAATGTAAAAGCAACAGCCCCCAGCACAGAAAATGAGGAATCCACACCACTCAGCCACACTCAGCCAATCCAGTTTAAAAACAAGGCTGTTCTTCCTAAATGGGAAAAGAATGGAAAAGAATAGATATGTGTATGTGTATAACTGAATCACTTGGCTACACACCCGAAACTAACAGAGCGTTGTTAATCAACTCTGCGCCAATACAAAATAAAACACATAACCAGCAAGGACCCACTGTATAGCACAGGGAACTCTGCCCAACATTCTGTAATAAGCTAAATGGGAAAAGAATTTGAAAAACAGCAGACACATGTATATGTATACACACACACACACACACACACACACACACATATAAATATATATATATCTGAATCACTTTGCTGTATACTTGAAACCAGCACAACATTGTTAATCAGCTATACTCCAATATAAAGTAAAATTTTTAAAAAGACAGTTGTTCCTTTCCACTTTGTTTCAAAACCCTCACATCTTCCTTTGCCCTCCTTATGTACATCACTTATTATCACACACACGTGTATCTTACAGCAGTGGTCCCCAACCTTTTTGGTACCAGGGACCAGTTTCATGGAAAACAGTTTTTCCACAGACTGGGGTGGGGGATGGTTCCGAGATGGTTCAAGTGCACTACATTTCCCGTGCACTTTATTTCTATTATTATTGCATCAGTTCCACCTCAGGTCNTGGGTTCGATTCCCTGGGTCAGGAAGATCCCCTGGAGGAGGAAATGGCAACCCAGTCCAGGATTCTTGCCTGGAAAATCCCATGGACTGAGGAGCCTGGTCCTCAGTCAGACCCGAATGAGTAACTAACACACACTCCTAACCAAAAACAGAGTCGTTGATTCATGTTCTTTGAGTAAAAATGGAAATGAAGTCCTTCAACGATGAGAAGATGAAAACACCTTCCCTCCGCTGTCTGAGGCTGAACAAGTCTGGGACGTGAATTCGGTTTTATTACATTTTTATCTTCTTACCTTTGCAATTGCTTCACATTATTGTTTCACTGCTGTTAGGATGATTTGCAAGGGGAAATGATGATGCCAAAATGATTCAAATGAAAGTCTAGATTAATGACAAATGATGTCAGAACCTGAGAATGTGGATGCAAATTGTAGTTAGGCTAGAAGAAAGTTACATGCCAGAAAGTGTATTAAGCTAACACAACACTTGAGATTTTCCGGGAAAAGGAAAAATAAAAAGGCTGAGTCGTGTGGCATATAATCATGTCCCAGCCCTCTTTACACTGGACCCTTTTTAGCCAAGTTGATTGTAAAAGCTAATTAAAGTCAAATGTGTTTTTCATGCGTCTACACTGTGCTAAGTGAAGCAGACAGTCTACAGGACACAGAACGGACCCTGACCTTCCTCTGACCCCCTTTGTGAGGCTGGGAGAATCCTCTAACCTTCATGCACGCCCTGGAGACTCTGAGCAAAGATTACAGGCTCTGGGGGTTGGAAAAGTTCTTTTAGTGGGGGGAGATTGTTATTGTTTACACGCTGGTCGGTATCCAGCTCTTTGCAACCCCATGGACCATGCCTGCCATGCTGCTCTATCCATGGAATTCTCCAGGCAAGAATACTGGAGTGGGTTGCCATTCCCTTCTCCAGGGGACCTTCTCAACTAAAGGATGGAACCTACCCCATCCTTCTCCTTCATCGGTTGGAAAGTTGAGGCTCTCAGAGCTCAAGGGATAGAAGGAAGAGCAGCCGAGGATGCCCGCTCTGTTGTGGAGTTAGCTGCCACCTCCTTCCCCAGCTGGCCCTTCCCTGTCCCCCAGCAGTTAAATCTTAACTGCCTGGGCCCTGCCTGTGGGGCAGGGGCCAAGGGGACAGCCCGCAAGGAAGCCAAGTGACCTCTCCCGGCCGACTCACCTCCAGGTTAACTCCTGCACCCTGGCTTTCTGCTGTGGTGATTTGGCATCTTTTTTGTTGTTGTTCAGTCACTAAGTCATATCTGACTCTTTGCAACCCCATGGACTGTAGCTCACCAGGCTTCCCTGTCCTTCAGTATCTCCTGGAGTTTGCTCAAACTCATGTCCATTGAGTCGGTGATGCCATCTAACCATCTCATCCTCTGTGGCCCCCTCCTCCCGCCGGTGAGTTAGCTCTTTGCCGCAGGTGGCCAAAGTATTGAAGCTTCGGCTTCAGTATCAGTCCTTCCAATGAATATTCAGGGTTGATCTCCTTTAGGATTGACTGGTTGGATCTCTTTGCTGTCCAAGGGACTCTCAAAAGTCTTCTCCAGCACCACAGTTTGAAAGCATCAGTTCTCCAATGCTCGGCCTTCTTTATGATCCAATTCTCACAGCCATACACGAATGCTGGAGAATGGACTGACCCAAACCTACGGTCAGTGGGACTTTAGAGAGGCGTGGAGGGGATGAAGGGCCTTCCTGTGTGAGATGAAAGCCATTTTCCTCCACTTCTTCTAACTACCACCCGTCCCAGGCCATCCCTGCCTTGAAGACTGTGCTCTTGAGTCCAGAAGCAGAAGCAGAGTGTTGGCCTGCTACCTCACACCACATACACGGAACTGAATCTATTCTCCATGACGTATAGGTTCTTTTCTCCAATATGACATGTGAATCCACGTGGTGCGGGGACATGGACCTTACATATTATTCCTTCGCAGTTTCCTTATTCTGTGAAAGTGCCCTGCCCCATCCATTGACTCAGAGGATGTTATCATTTCTGAGTCGATCATTTTCAAAGCCCCAAATCAGAAAATAGAAGACTTCATTGGCATGATGAGTTTTCTTTTCTCACTAGAGCAAGTTCTACCCATGAGGACATCATATTCTTGCTTCTGAAAGGAATAAACTTTTAAAAATAAATATGTGGTTGTCACAGTTATACAAATGAATTTAAAAAACAAAACAAAAACTTTAAGCAGGTGATAATCAGCAGTTGTGGAGAGACACTTGGAGGAGGGTTTAGAAATCAAAGGGGTGTGTGTGTAACTGTGTTTTCAGTCGGTTCTTTGCAACCCTATGGACGGTATTCCCCCCATACAAGTAACGTCACTGCAAAAGAACCTTTATGCCTGAGCTCAGAAATAAGGGTCTAACTAAAATTATTTCTCTCTTATCTGTTATGTCACAGTGGAGACACTGTTGCCTTTGAAAAGTCTACTAATTATAACTGCAATCTCCAAGAAGAAAGAGCAGTGAGTGTTGAATAAAATAGATTTGCTATGATAGACCCTGAAATATTCAGTAATTGTTGAATTAGATGCAATTGTTTTCCTGTGTATAACGTTATTATGGGCAGCCCTTAGCCACTCACCCCCCTGATCCTCAAAGTGATGCTGGCTGATAATGAGGGAGCATCTGGTGAGGAGGAAGCCCGTGGCTGTTCTCAATGGGCAGAGTGCAGATCTGAGAAAGCCAAGGAGGATATCCTGAGCCTGAAGCTGACCCAGAGCAGGCCATTAGGTTGGAGAGGATGAAGGGGACTCCCCTGACCCAGGTGCAGTCCAACAGGGCAGGCTGTGGGGCTCAACTTCCAACTTCCCAGGAATGCTCTCACCTACTCTATTAAAGTGGAAATTATTCAAAAGACGTCAGGGAAATCCTGGAGAAATCATTTCAATACAGTCCTTCATGCAAATCAGGAGCAGCCATGCCTCCCCTTGTTCCGGGGGTAGGAGTAGGGTGGGGAGGTAGACAGCAGTGTGGCTGACACAAGGCAGGAATGTTGAATTCACTTTTTGCCATGTTGCCTTTTTCCATCCTTAATGAAAATGTTTTACATTCTGTAATCTATTCTTCTGAAGGAAAGTCAGTGCCCCTCACTTCCCTGGTTCGTCCGGCCCTGAGATTTTTATATACGGCTGACCATTTCTGTAATCCAGGGCCGGTGACCCAGACAGGAGATGGTTTTAGTTCAAGGGTGGACAACCATGTAGACAAACGTTGCAGAATGTGTTTATGGCACCGGATTTTTCATAGGTCGTCTTTTTATCGTTTGTTACTACACAGCATTTGTGAGCTTCCCAGGTGGCACTAGTGAAGAACCCACCTGTCCATGCAAGAGACAGACGTGGGTTTGATCCCTGGGTCAGGAAGGTCCCCTGCAGGAGGGCATGGCAACCCACTCCAGTGTTCTTGCCTGGAGAACCCCATGGACAGAAGAGCCTGGTGGACTACAGTCCATAGGGTCCCAGGCAGTTGGACACTACTTAAGCGACTTAGCATGCACACACGCATACAGCATTTGGAATGCAAAGCCACTTTGAAATATTAAATATGTGAAATATTAAATCCTAATTGCTCCCTGATGACTAGAGAGTATAGCCTTATAGAGGAAGGTTAGTATCATTTGCAATGAAACAAGAGGGAATAGTTGCTGAAATCAAGAAAAGTGCCCAGGGGTGTGGATAAAATATTAACCTATAGTAGCAATGAATAATTATTATCTGACTTAAAGAAATAATCCGTGTGAAAATGGTTTTAGGGTGACAGTCACTCACCGATCAAGACAGATCCCATTGGATCCCCTTTGTCTGAATTCAGGAGATGTCCATTCTGGGAGCAGGAACTGGCAAAGAAATACTCCTATCAAATGGTAGGCTTGGGACTTCCCTGGTGGTCTAGTGGTTGAGATTCTGTGCTTCCACTGCAGGGGACATGAATTTGATCCCTGGTTGGGAAGTTGCACATACTGCAGTGTGGGGGGAAAAATTTTTTTTTAATGGTAAGTTTGCACACATCAGGAAGACTAATGCTCCGTGCCTTGGCTGCCTAGGGCAGTAAATGGCTTCTTAGTCTGCCAGTGATCACAGTTGTACAAGATGGAGTAAGATTTGCCTTCTTCCAGGCCCGTGAGGACTGTCATTCCCTCTCGGGCTGGGTGATGGTCAGGAAATTCAGGGCTTTTCCTCATGCTCTATAGAAAGACTCCCCCTGGGATCATGTCACATTCTAGAATGAGGGTCTCCGTCACAGAGCAAGAAACAGGTCTGTGCATTTTTTAGCAACTGGGTCTGGGGGCATGTGGAAGGGGAAATTGGGCTTGAGAGGGAAAGGTGGCAAAGATCGGTGGTCTTCAGAGTGGGTGGTACAGACCCGGAAATAAATGAGTTATGGCATCAAAAATGAAGCGACTTCAATTTTAGTTGAAGTTATGCATTACTCCACATGAAATGAAAATGTCACTCAGTCGTGTCCGACTCGTGTGACCTCATGGACTGTACCCCACCAGGCTCCTCTGTCCATGGTATTCTCCAGGCAAGAATACTGGAGTGGGGTACCACTTCACGTAACTATCAGTAAAAACACACAGCCCCAGGAAAGAGTTTGGCTGATGCCATAGCCAGATAGTATTATTGTAGGGCCTGCAATGCAGGAGACCTGGGTTCAATCTCGGAGTCAGGAAGATCCTCTGGAGAATAACATGGCAACCCACTTCAGTGGGCTGCAAGCTGAAATGACTCTCTTTATTCTCCTAGGTGGCCTTTCTTGCTGATGAATACTGCAACTGCTGTCAAGACATTTTGCAACATGTGAGAAACCAACAACTCGAGAGGGTAGGGATTTATCTACAGAACGCAAGCATTTATGACTTCTTCTTAACCTTTCGGCTTGAAAAGACCCCTCAAGGGATGTGGACTAGGAATTCATCGCACTAAAGTGCTTAGAATGCAGCTGTTTTATAGTCAGTAAGCTCTTGAAGGTGATATTTTTATTCAGTTTAATCATCTGGAAATTTTCCAAGGTGCTCATATGGATAATTTTATACTTTAAATATAAACTCAGCTATTTTTAGATCCTAATTCCAGCTGATCTGAAATAAAGTACTGATGGCTCAGTGGTAAAGGATCTGCCTGCCAATGCAGGAGGCGCAGGAAACATGGGTTCTATTCCTGGGTCGGGAAGATCCCCTGGAAGAGGAAATGGCAACCCACTCCAGTATTTTTGCCTGGGAAATCCCATGGACAGAGGAGCCTGGTGAGCTACAGCCCATAGGTTCCCAAAGAGTTGGGCACAATTTAGCGACTAAACAACAACAAATTTATTTACCCTGGGATTCTCAGTGATGGTTTTCAGAGCTGTTATTGATCCATGCTAATGCACTAGAAGCAGTTCAAAGCAGGGTGCTCTGACATGAGAATCATCAAGAGTGGATTGTATTCTAGAATTGACCGTGAAAGGCATGAAGAAATCCTTTAACCATTCTGAATCCTGTCTTTTACCATATAAAATGAAAATCCAGAGAAGCAAATACTCATTTAAATGAAATGTCTTCTGAAGATTCAGTATTCTAAGCACTTCCGCTTTGCGAGATAATGTTTACTCAGCTTGAAGTCATTTCTTGCTTTGTAGAAAACATTGGCCTGAGGGAGGGACCAGGCTGTCTTCAGAGTGACCCCTGGCCTATTAACACCATGTTATAAACACTCCCCAAGTTGAGTATCCAATCCACTCCTTGTCTACAATGCTTCATCAAGTACTAACTGAATTCTTACCCTGTGACCAGCACCGTTTCCAGAACAAAGAGGGTATTCCCCTGGAGGCTTGAGAAGCTGATAGTCTGGTACTGAAAGGAACAGTGTAAGCCAATGAGTGTGATACAGTATGGAACGTTCTAGAACACAGAGTGATTGGACTGTTCTGGACTTCCAAGGCAAGAAAAACAGAGACGCCTGGAGAAGTTTCCCTGGAAGAGGCCATGTTGCTGGCGAGTCTCATAGAAAAGCAGAAGTCCAGCAGATGCTAAATGGGGGAGAAGGAGGATTCTGGGAGGAACGCATGGTGCAGGCAGAGGCAGAGGGTGGTCACAGGCATCACAGCACAGGAAGGTTGCTGGGACCGGATTTATTATCTCACAGCCCCGTGGGAAACTCTGACTTATTGAGGAGATGGCAGGTTGGCAGTGACATCAGATGCCATGTTATGGGAGCTGAGGGTGGGGAGGAGGCTCTGCCACAGTCCACGTGACAAGGATGGAGGGCTGGGTCGTGAATAGTGTACCAGAGAGAAAGAGGGACAAATCAGAGAAATATTTCTGTAGCAGGTGAATTGGGAAGGATGACTCGGAATGTGGGAGGTGGGGCGAGGGGTGGGCTGAGACAATGCTGTCTCATCCAGACCCATGAGCCCCAGAAGCCTCCAGCCTGGGGGTCCAAGGATTACTTCACCCTGCTCAGCATTCTTGGCTGTCTCATTAAATACCTGAGTTTCTTTGGATGTCTTCTCTAGAAGAGATTTTCAAATCAGGTACTCCGGGTCAGCGCTCACAACCTACACAGAAGAAACAGCTTACGAGTCTGGGGTTCTTGGAGGACCTGGGCTGGTACTGTGTTGCCTCAGGATATATGAGCTGCAGAAATCTCAGAAGGCTGGAGTCTTCCTGAGCTGACAACTCAGATGGGCCACCAGGTCCACATGGGAGGAAATAAAGAAAGGACCCTGCCATTTTGCTCCTCAACAGAAGTCTTTAAAGAAGGCTCCTCAGGCTTGGGGAAGAACGGACACATGTGTTCGTGGCTGAGTCCCTTTGCTGTCCACCTGAAACTATCACAGCATTGTTAATTGACTAGACCCCAACACAAAATAAAAAGTGTTTTTTTAAAAAAAGAGTGAACAACATTAGTGGTTCATTTCTTTTTTTCTCGAAGTATAAGTGATTTTTTTTTTAAATTCATTTACTAGAAAGTTAACCTTTATTTTCTGGTGGCTTAGATGGTAAAGAATCTGCCTGCAATGCAGAAGACCCAGGTTTGATCCCTGGCGCAGGAAGATTCCCTGGAGAAGGGAATGACTATGTATTCCAATATTCTTGCCTGGAGAATTCCATGGACAGAGGAGCCTGGCGGTCTAGAGTCCATGGGGTTACAAAGAGTTGGACACGACTGAGTGGCTAACACTTTTATACTTGGAAACTCCTGGCTCATTCTAGAAAGAGTTAGATCATTTTTTTCCTTCTCAATTTTAGTGCTAGCAATATTGATGGTGATGCTTTCATATTTTACACTCAATTCTTGAATATATACANGAAGGCGGGAGGAGAAGGGGACAACAGAGGATAATTGGTTGGATGGCATCACCGACTCAATGGACATGAGTTTGAGTAAGCTCTGGGAGTTGGTGATGGACAGGGAGACCTGGCGTGCTGCAGTCCGCAAAGAGTTGGACATGACTGAGTGACTGAACTGAACTGAACTGTTGTAGGTGAATTCCAACATGTCAAGGAGGAGGCAACATATCTTTGGTTATATATGGCTACACATCTTCCTGAGCTGAAAATCATTGAAGGGGTCAGTCAGTCACTGAAAATGTATTCTGAACTCTGGTTTGTACCCCCAGGGCCCGATCTTTGTCCTACTGTAATCAGGAGAGCCCCCTTGTTATCATAATCAGCCTTCCTTCTAGAAAACTGCCTCAAGACCAGTCTTCCACCCAGCCAGCAGGTGCTCTCTGATGGATGTAAAATCCCTTCTAAAATACAGCTTGGGAGACTTCCTTAGTGCTCCAGTGGCTAAGACTGTGTGCTCCCAAGGCCAGGGGCCTGGGTTCCATCCCTGGTCAGGGATATAAAGCATTTATTTATTAATAATGAGATTTATTTACTTAGATAAACATTTTTTAAAATAAAATACAATACATTAAATACAGCTTGGAAAAGCCAACAGGCAAAGCTTAACATCAGTTGGAATGAAATTCGTCCAGTTACCATTCAGGGTTGATGAGCTGCCTGTGGAGGACTGGCCTTGCCAGGCACGAAGGCAGGGTTCAGAGCTTTGTTCTGTCCCTCCGTCAGGTGGAAGGCTTGCTGATGTCCTTCTGGAAGTCTCTGCAGCAAGACACAGTGATGCTCCTGTCACTCCCTGACGTGTGCCAGCTCCTTAAGTGCTATGACGTGCAGCTGTACAAGGTAGGCGGTTCCTTCCAGCTGCTGGCTTGTGTCCTGTCCGGAAACTGGTACCCAGTGCTGGGAGCTTCCCAGGTGGCGCTGATGGTAACAAACCCGCCTGCCAATGTGGGAGACACAGGAGAGGTGAGGTTGATCCCTGGGTTCAGGAAGATCTCCTGGAGAAGAAAATAGCAACCCACTCCCATACTCTTGCCTGAAAAATTCCATGGACAGAGAAGCCTGGTGGGCTACAGTCCATGGGGTTGCAGAAAAGTCAGACACGACTAAGCGACTTAGCATGCACACACTGGGGTTAGAGCCGCAGCCCTCACCCTCCGGGGTGTCCACGGATCTCAGATCCTCTGAGGAATCAGTGGTGGGGCCAATGGACCACGTGCCTTAGATCTTTCCCTAAGACTCAGTTTTCCTTTCTGAATTCACTGAGAGTCCGAGTGACCTCGTGTAGAGAAAAAGCCAGTGAGTGTGATACAGTGTGGAAGGTTCTACAACACAGTGTGATTGGGCTGTTCTGGACACCCAAAGGAAGAACAGAGACGCCTGGAGAGGGCCCCGTGTTGCTGGCAAGTCTCGTAGGAAAGGAGAAATTCTACAGACTCAAAATGGAGGAGTAAACGCGTGGTGGAACACGTGGATTCTGGGAGGAACACGTGGTGCTGGCAGAGGCAGAGGGTGGTCATAGGCATCACAGGACAGCAAGGTCGCTGTGACCGGACTTACCTCACTTGCCCTGTGGGAGACTTGGAGTTACTGAGAAGACAGTGGGTTGGCAGCGGCATTGGATGCCTTCTTATTGGAGCAGAGGGTTGGGGGGAGGCTTTGCCACAGTCAGGGTGACACGGGAAGAAGGTTGGACTGAGGGATCTAATGACATCAGAGAGAAAGAGGGACGGACACAGGGTGACTGGTGGGTCCAGTGAATCATTCATTTCAGTGAATCCTGAATTGAGTTAGCGTCCTTATTCTGATATTTTAACAAAAGAGGACTTTTTAAAATAGGCAATTGGAGTCGTTGCTTTGGATTGTACACAACTTCTGGGGTTTGTAGGTTTGTTTTTTCAACTCTGTGTCTAGAATGATGAACTGTGGTTTGGGCGTCAATTATATATAATTTCTGTAGTGAAAATGTGCTTTCCTTAAGCTTGTCATGAACTTTTACCTTTTATTTTATATTTGTTTTTAGGGGGGAAAAAATCCAGGGCTTCTAAATTTTTAACACAAAGGTTGAAAACTTGAGGCTGGATTCAGCCCTTAAAGATTTTGGTTTGACCTCAAAACCAAAACCAGTCTTAGCCAACATTCATATTGTGTACGTTTGTGAATCGGTCCTCAATATTTTGAAATCTTTGAAAGAGTTCTGATTCAAGCCTCTCCAGCCTGATGTCCTTACCCAGTGGTCAGCAGCTAAGGCTCCGTGGTGGCTGTGTCCTTAGCTGGGTGGGGGCCCCTCTCTTGGCCTGTGGCTCATGTGACCCTTGGCCTCTTGTGACCAGAGGCTGCCCACGCTGGCTGGTGGCCATCTGTCTTGTCACTTCTGTTGTAGGGAATTGAGGACATTCTCCTCCATGACTTTTTGGAAGATGTTTCTATTCAGTATTTGAAATCTGTCCGGTTGTTTAGTAAGAAATTCAAGCTGTGGCTCCTCTCTGCTCTGGAGGGCTTTCCAGACCTCTTACAGATCTCCAAATTCAAAGGTGGGTTTCCATGGAGAACGTGGATTCTGTGAATGCAAGTGTGGCATCTAACTTTCCACCTGGGGTAGGTCATCTCCTCTTAACTGCAGCCTGGGGTATATAGGATCTTAGTTGCCCAGCCAGGAGTCAAACCTGCAACCCTGCAATGGAAGCATGAAGTTGTAACCACTGGACTGCCGGGGAAGTCCCGCTCTCCCCTCTGGGGTCGCTTTGCCCTCATGAGCTGAACTGCAGTCCACACGTCCTGCGCTTCGGCTTTCTCAGCTTTTCCTTTAATGCCCATAGGGGAGGCGTGTGTTGATCCATCCACACCCTCTTGCCGACTCCCCAAGCAGGGCCAAGGGGCTGGGGAGCTAGCAAAGGGCAAGGGGGAGGCCAGCCGTGCCTCCGGCCCTCTCCAGCCAACTCCAGAGGCAGCTGCCGTCCTTGGCTCACTGCCCACCCAAGCAGGGCCAACGAGGGTCCTGGCCTAGCATGCCCCCACCTCCCTGCGCTCTGCTCAGGCCCCACGAGGCTCCAAGAGTGTCGCTCCCTCCTTAGAAAGTCCTCCCAAGGCCCAGCTTGCCCACACTCCAGACCCCCGGACGGTCATGCCCACGTGGAATGTGAACGCAGGAGGCTGTTGGTCTGCTCAAGCCTGCAGCAGCCGCTCCAGGCCTTCCTGAAGCTGACCGTTGCTTTCTCTCGGACGCCATGGCCCTCCTAAACTCCAGCACACGCCCGCTGGATGGACAGTGTCTTTTATGGTCCTGGAAATACCCTTGTTTCTCCCTCCTGCCTTTGTGAGGTTCTCCATCATCACCTCTAGCTCTCCCCGCCCAGCCCCACCCTTCCTGGGCAGCTGAGGCCTCTCCCGGCGCCCAGCCCTCCCCACCTATTCCCCTCCACCCTGCGAGTCCGCCTCCCTGGCACCCTGTGTGTGCCATCTCCCCCGAGGGCCCACAGAACGGGCCATGCCTTATCTTCACCCCTGGCGCCCCCAGCACCCCTGGCTGCATTGATCCCTGTTTGACCCACTTGGAAACTCACAGGCCCAGGGCGTGTGATCGGCAGTCAGGAATGTGGCAGGAAGGGTCCCCCAGAGAGAACCGTGAGGTCTGGTGTGTGCTGGACCCCCAGGACAGGGGTCCAGTTTTCTGGTGGCCCCTTCCCCACCTGCCCTCATCCTGCCCTCCGGCTCTCATCCCTCCCCCCGCCCAGGCTCTTCAGTAGCTTCCACACTGATGGTCCTGCCTCCAGCCTCACTCTCCTTGTTCACATGGCCCTCCCCTCCCATCACCCCCAGCACCCCTGGCTGCACTGATCCCTGTTTGACCCGCTGGGAAACTCACAGGACCTGCTTGTATGATCACCATGTCCCTGTTGTGGGTGGGCCACCCTCCTCCACTGCTTGACCTCTGACCCATCCCTGCCCCCCTGCCCCCAGGAACCTCCAGCACCCACTGGTGCTCCCCAGAGTCTCCTGACTGGTGGTGCCCAAGAAGCCCTGTTCCTGCTGCTGTTTGTACCCCCATCGGCCTCCCCCAACCCCTTGCCTGGCCAACTCCTACCCAGACTGAAGATCCACTTCCAGGTGGAGCTGCTCCCGGCACTTTCTATCCCAAGAAGCCTTCGCTCCTTTCTCCCTGTGGCTTGTGTTGGCGGGAGCGCTTGCCCTGCTGGTGGGAGACTGTGCATTGGTCACCCATCCTTAGCCGGGAGCCCCTGGAGAATGGAGGTCCCTCTCCTTCCTCCAGCTGTGAATGCACTGGAGGGAGTATCCCCGTGAACGAATGCATGAATAAAATGAGTGAATGAGTCCATCCAGGAGGGCATCCCCTCTCTCATTTTCTCATTTCTGGTCATTTCGCAAGGAGAGCATGCAAGGATGTGGAAGTTGGAGGAACTCAGAGTTCCTGGGCAAAATGCTCAAGTCCACAGAGCCCCCGAGGCAGGTGCTGCTGACACCACTTTTCCAGCACTGGGTGGAGGGTAGGGGGTTATCACCTTGCCCCCAGAGGATCTAGAGCCATGTGGGGAAGGGCACGGGAGCAAGGGTACTGGGGGCCTGGCTGTGTGAGGCAGGGAGGTGGCTGGCCATTCTGGGCGGACAGGTATGCCAGCTCCGGGCACCACCTTGCGTGTGCCTTCTCTCCCAGCCTGCTCCCTGCCCCCGCCCCCAGTCATTCATGTGAATCTGAAGTTACAGGATCAGTAATGGCCTTTGTGTATTGTTCTTGACAGAGGTTACTGTGTTTGTCAAAAGGCTAAGAAGAAAGACATACCTTTCCAACATGGCGAAGGTAGGTTTCCTGAGTGTCCCCCAGAGCAGACAGCAGGCCCTGTCCTGGCCGCGCACCCACCCACCCTGATGCATGTTGGGGCCACCAGGTTCTGGGCTCTGACCTTCTCTGTCTTGCGTGACCACGCAGCTTCAGTGTTAGAGGTGCGGGGAGAGGGGCCAGAGAAAAGGTTCTGGAATCTGTTCTGAAATCCCATGGAAGCAGATGGGGACAGAGCCGGGGACCAGCCCTCTGCCCTAAAGCAGCCCCAGCCAGGGAGGCGTCCAGCCAAGCCCGCCTTTGACAGTCTCCATCCTCCTGGCGCAGAACTTCTCCCCCAGACCCAGCCCCTCTAGCTGGTTCCCCCTTCTGTGTTCGAGGGCCGATGGCCACGACTTTGCAACACAACCTCCATCCCAACCCGTCTGGAGCAGCCACCTCAGGCTCCAGAACCAGCCCTTCAGTGTTGCCCAGGGGGTTTACTTAGCACCCAAGGGCCCATTTCCTCTCCATAAACCTGAAGTGGCTGTGGCGCCTGCTCCCGGGGCTGGGATACGGGTGACCCACCCTGAATGTGGCAGGGATTGGATCGTCCCCTTGGACGTGCATGTGCATGCTCAGTCGTGTCCAACTCTTTGTGTCCACATGAACTGTAGCCCGCCAGGCTCCTCTGTCCATGGGATCCTCCAGGCAAGAATAATGGAGTGGGTTTCCATTCGCTTCTCCAAGGGGATCTTCCTGACCCAGGGATTGAACCCATATCTCCTGCATCTCCTGCATCGGCAGGCTGATTCTTTACTGCTGAGCCACCAGGGAAGCATCCCTTTGGACATTGGAGGCCAAATTCACTACCCAGGGCTCCCAGAGGAAGAAAAGACACGACTTCTGAGTCCCCTCGGCCACCCTGTAGAGTCCGCCCACCTTTTGCTTTTCCAGAAACACACTTGCCTTGCAGACCCCGAGTCAGCCACTGGTTCTCTCTCTGGAGCATTCAGGCTCCTTCCTGGGGGCACAGAGGATAAGGGGCTGGGAGAGAAGGCACCACAGGCCCTGAGACCCTGCACCCACCTGCCCCCAGGCAGAAGCGTTCTAAATGCTGCATTTCAGAAAGGCAGTTCTAAAATGTGGGAAATTCAGACATTTTCATTGTCTGCTGGGATTCCATTTTATTGGGCAATACCCTCAATCCACTGTTCTTTCTCTTTGATAACTACAAAACCATGGTAATTTGGAGAGGGGGGCATCAGGCTACAGTAGGATGATGAGGTTTCAGTAAGTGTTGTTTGTGCACTTTGTCTTCAGACCATGAGGATGGTGCTGAGAAACAGCAGGAGGGTCAGCGTCCTGAAGACGGATCTATGCACCATCTTACATCAGGGCGTTTTGAATATTTCCCAGAAAGTCCTGCCTAGGGACCTGAGCGGTGCCGATGTCCTGGAAGAGAACACAGAGATGAAATGTAATCCTCCTTCAGCTGCCTCTTTGTGCAGTGTTTGGTATATGATCGGGGCTGGCATGGCCATCCCTAATATATGAAACTACTGAAATAACTCGGGGCTTTGCTGGTAGCTCAGTGGTAAAGAATCCGTCTGCCAATGCAGGAGACATGGGTTCAATTCCTGGGTCAGGAATATCTCCTGGAGAAGGAAATGGCAACCCACTCCAGTATTCTTGGCTGGGAAATCCCATGGGCAGAGGAGCCTGGCAGGTTTAGAGTTCATGGGATTGCAAAGAGTCGGGCGTGACCCAGCAACTAAACAACAACAACAGCTCTAGATAAGTAGCCCCTCCCCCATCACTCAACTGTCCCTTGAAGATCTCCCCACTCCCTGCTACCTGGCTGTCCCAAATCGCAGATCCTCCCCCAGGAGACTCCCCTCCAACCAAACCAGCATCTGAAAAGTGCACACCAAACCCAGTAAACCTCAGGGCTATGGAAACCCCTCTCCCAGGCTGCTGACTCCCCTGGAAATCCCAGGTGACCCCCAAAACCTTGCTCTCTCCCCCAGCCCAAGCTCAGGGGGCCCAGGAGGCGTGAGGCCTCTGCCCCAGGTGCCTGCCAGCCTTCCAGGGGCTCCCAGGCTCCTGATGGCTTCCTTGTGTGTCTCTGCAAGGGGGCACAGATCCAGCAGGGAGACAGCATGACGCCTGACAGGTAAATGCTCAAGGTGTGCCTGGAAATACTTCCAGACGGAGCCTGGTGGGGCCTCTTCCAGGGCTGAGGCAGTCCACTGGGTTTTCCAAATCTTCCTGGCATGAGGTGGCCCTCAGGTGGGGGGACCAAAGGCTGTCCTTCCACCCTGTCTCCCTCACTGCTGCCTGCACAGGTGGGGGGCCCTAGTCCCTGCATCACTTGCCAGCCTCCATCCCTCAGGTCTGTGCTGCCAGAGTCCACAGCCCCCGGGCAAGGCACCTAACATCCCTCAGCGGCTTTGATGTCCTTCATCCCCTTATAAAAACAGCGGGGATGGGTGAGGTCATGTCTGTATCATGCAGTGAGCTCACTTGGAGCCAGGTTCTGCGTAATTACAAGGTGTAGTTATGATTTCCAGATCTTTCTTCCCATTTCAACAAGGAGCAGAGGGGGTCGCTGGAAGGCAAGAGCACAGAGCTCTGAACCAGACGACCTGGGCTGACACATCCGACCCAAGAAGGCAGCCTTTGTGTTCACAATGAGTGTGAGGCCCCAGGGGATGCCTTTGAACCCGCTGTGAGAATATGGTCCCCTAGGTTACCTGGTATACAAATACCTACCGGGAAATTCTGCCACATGGCTCACCATCTTTTGGTTTGTTTTGTCTGTTGATAGGTTTGAGCAGTTTAATTTCTTTGCTGGGGACGTCAACAGATCTCAGTGTATTCATGAATTGTCTGTCTTCAAATCTCCAAGAATTTGTCTTCCAGGTACAAAATCATATATATTTTTTTTAAGAGCAGCAAGTGTTGGTCATTCTGGCTATGTTATAGCACTGAGTGCTCAGGACCTGGTGCAGAGGGGAAGGGTTTTCTCTGGGGCTCTGGACAACAGTGTGTTATGGCCGGGATGGCACTTCGGGATGGGGAAGTGGTGTCTCGGAGGCTTGTACCTCATACAAGTGTGTGTGTGTCTGCTTGCAAGTGGCACATGTGTGCATGGGTGAGCATGTGTGTGGGTGAGTGTAGGCAGGTAAGTGTGAGTGTATTGCCCTTGTGAGTATGTGAACACCAAGCAGGAGTGTTTAGGAGGGAGATGGGTTTGTCTATGGAGGGTTATCGACTTAAAAATAAAGTCACAACCTAAAAGTTGAAAGTTTTATGTTTAATTCAGCGGAAATTTTTAGGACTTCAAGCCTGGGAGACAACATCTCAAATGACCCTGAGAGAACTGCTGCAAGGAGGCAGAGGGAAGAGTCAGGTTATATAGAAATTTGCAACAAAGGGCAGGTAGTCTGAACATCAAAAGTATTTTGTGAATTAAAGAAAACCAGATATCCCAAGTTAAGCAATTTAGCGCTTTTCTGTGTATGGAAGATGCAAGATTCTGGGCTCTCTGAAATCATTCCTTTCATATGCATCTCAGCTATCTGGGGCCAGAAGCCTGTGTTTTTCACACCCAGAGTTCCTCAGGGCTCACCGTAGGGAGTGGCTGCAGCCTTATGGATGCCAGATTGCAGGTATTCTCTTCCTTCCTTGGTGCCCTTAGGGCTCAGGAATTCACTTTTGGAGGGCTGGAATCACTGATGACTGTGACATCCTTGTTTACTGATATGGCAGGAGATACTCCATTTCTCAGGGAGAACGGTGCTCTTATGGGGGTTTTACATGCAGTCCCAGTAAAGTGTCAGGCTTGGGTTCATGAAAGCCAGGATGAATTGGTTTTGGATGTGAGTAGGGTGGGTTTGGTCCTTCTAACAGACATGTCACTTGGGTTCAGTACGCCCTTTGGCTTGATTGTCATCATCAGTGGTATCAGCAGTCACATTACTGAATCAGGTTTGGCCGCTCACTGCTCAGAAATCAGTACTGGAGTGAAGCAAATGTTGGTAGAGAAGAAAATTGCTTTTGATCAGAATGCTTGCAGTCTGGAGAGATGATGAAACTCGGTGTCCCCAAAACCACCTCTAGAGATTCTGCGTGGCCCTGAACATCTTTAAAGGGAAACGGGGAGGTGATCTCAGTTAATCGCTGAGAAGAGGAGGGAAGGGTCCTTGCCGTCCTCCACTGCATCCAGGCTTGTGTCCAGGCTCGTCCACTCCTTGCAGTTTCTCTCTCTCTTTTTATTTTTTTGTCATGCATGCGCGTGTGCTTCCACTGTGTCCAACTCTTTGCAACCCCATGGACTGTAGGCCGCCAGACTCCTCTGTCCGTGGGATTCTCCAGGCAGGAATACTGGAGTGGGTTACCATTTCCTTCTCTTTAGATGCGCTCTTGCTCACACAGTTTGTTCAGGAGATTACTAAAGGGGAAGCTGGGGAAGAGATCTGGTCATCTGTTGACTCTTACTCTTCATTTCTATGTCTTTAATCTGCGGAAAGAAGCAATAGTTCAGGCAAAGCATTGCATGATCAAAAGGTCTGAAAAGTGTGCTTGGACCGGAAATAAGCAGAGCAGGGCCGGGGAGGTGGTTGGGGGTGGTGCCTGCTTCGAGGTTAAAGACAGGATGGAAGGGGCCTCCTCCAGAGAGCACCTCCTGCCAAAGGCTGCTTCCAGTCACCCTGTCGGAGCTGATGATGCTATTGGGGGAACCCCAGCACCAGGCTCCAGTGGACCCCAAACAGCAGGCCTTCTGCCTATGAAGACACCACCCTCTGAAAGCTAAGGCATCTGGGAATGGGCTGGACTGGGAGGTGAAGGGCAGGTAAGATTAAATTCAGCTGAGAAAGGGAGACAGCCTTCCTGAGAGAGGTCGGCAGGAGCAGAGTGGGCATAGGGAAAGCGGGGAACCAGTCTAGGGAAGAGGGAGACATCTCTGCAGCAGAGAGCAAGGACCTGGAGGGCCTGGAACCAGAATATGACTCGAGTTTTCTCCAGAAGTCTCCAACAACAGGTTTTCCCAACCCCTCCCTCCCCCAGAAAGCCCAGGGAGGAGCTTGACAGCTGGGTTCTAAGACGTGGCAGGCGTCTATTCTTATTCTTTGCTTCTTAGAAATAATCTTTCCAGATTCTATGTGTTTTCCTTAATAATTGTACTTGTCTGTTTATTTTTGGCTGGGCCTCCTTGCTCCATGGGCTTCTCTCTAGTTGCAGTGAGCGGGGGTGACTCTCCGGTTGCGTTGGCTTCTCGGGCAGAGCACTGGCTCTGGGCTGCACAGGCTTCGGTCGTTGCAGCACATGGGCTCAGTAGTTGTGGCTCCCAGATTCTAGAACTCTGGTTCCGTAGTTGTGGCACGTGGGCTTAGCTGCTCCACAGCATGTGGGGTCTTCCCAGATCAGGGATCGAACCAGCATCTAGGTTGGCAGATGGGCACTTTACCAGTGAGCTGTCAGGGAAGCCCCGCCATGTGGTTTTGATTTCTCTCCTCTTTGGTCCTTGGCAAAGCTCACTTGTACCAGAGGTCATGTGCGCAGTTGCATAGCTGTGGAGGCTTCAATTTGTTTAGGAGGGTGAAGCTCCCTGTCCTCTGGTCCTTGTTTCAGGCACCCACGCAGCCTCAGCTGTACCCCAGCTAAACCCACTGAGATCATGGGCACCAGTCCTGCCCGCAGCGGCACAGGCCCATCCTGCATCCGAGCCCACGTGACATGGTGTGTCCACCCTCACCCCCACAGCCCTCATGAAGGAGACATCTTAGGAAAGCGGTGGTTTTGTGGCCGCCTGCATTTGATGGGCTTGTTTTTCTAAAATAGCTTGTCTGATTAAAAAAACAGACTATTGTCAATAAAATACTCAGACTGTTAAAATGTGAAGCTTCAGACATGTCCAAGATGACTAATCATCTCAAGTTGTCAGCATCTGGGACACAGGGAGACGTTCAGCTGTGCTGTGTTTCATTTGGCTCCCCCAGTTCTTGTGCAGTTTGGGCCAAAGAGTAGTTTCTAAACGTGGAAACCCAAGGCGTCATGCTACTGGCAAAGAGGAGGAAGGCTCGGAAATTGGGCTGAGATCGCCCACTGCACCTTCTCTGGGTGCTTTAGGGACATCTTTGTGTGTCCTGAACCCCAGCAGGGGTCCTCCCAAGAGCCCCCCTATCCAGGAGGTCCAGAGGCATGGGGAGAGGATGCCACTGCTAAGGGAGTCTGTTACCAAACCCAGGTTCATGTTCAGGATGCACTGTGAAGCCGAACAGACTGGAAGGTCAGAGGCTGGGGCAGAGAAAGGTTTATTGCAGGGCCATGCAAGGAGAATGGGTGGCTTACGCTCAAAACTCCCCCAGAGGCCTTCAGCAAAGCATTCTCAAGGGCCGGGTCAGGGGGGCGGGTCTTGGGTGTGTGATTAGCTTCTGCACAGTTCTCTGATTGGCTGATGTTGAGATAACAGGGCAGTTAACCTTACTGGTCCTTAGACACTGGAAGGCCTGTGGGCTGTGTGCTCCTCATCATCGAGTAGTTAGTGTCTTCCACTTGTTGGTGATGTTTAGCATTGGAAAAACTCGGGAAAAATACAGAAGATGCTATCATCCGGGTACTTCAGCAAGGAGCCCCAGCAGAGGGTGGGGGTGGGGGGTGTCTGTCCCAGGGAGGCCCCCCCATAGGGTCTTGCTTGGTTACAGGTCCACACCCACCCACAGTCCTGAGTGGTCCTTTGGGTGTTCTCGGTGGGGGCTGAAGATAAGCAGAGATGGAAAGGCACCTCTTTATTCCTGGCCAGTCACCGCAACTCTTCCTTGGAGACTGTGGTTGAGACTGTGGTTGGTCCCCATGCAGGGGAGGTTCAGGGGGTTCACCCCAGCCTGTGCTGGGGAACTCCTGTGGCTCTGCCAGTATGTAATTCACCAGAACTGCAACCCAAGGCTGCTGTCGGTCTGGCGGGGGAGTTCCTTGGTCTGCACATACAGCATCCCCCAGTACCCAGTTTACTGCCACATCAGATGACCACACAGGTGGACCTTCCAGGCCTCAATAACTCACCCAGTGCAGCAGCCAGCATGGTTCTTTCCAAAATCCCCCTTCCTCCCATCACTGTGGGATTCTGGGCCCCCTTATCACAGCATCAGATTTGCCAAGTATAAATTAGCCCCCGATGTCCCCGACAGCAGCTGCAAAGGGGGCCTCAGCAGGACTGCCCTGCAGGGGTCATCCTGCAGAGGTCCTCACAAGTGACCTCTTTTTAAAAAATTGTGAGGGATTCGAAAAAGAAGTGGGCCCCTCTCCCACCTCCTGCCTTCTCTCCCCCACTTCAAAAGGTCTTGCCAGGAATCACCCTCGACAAGGGGTGGTGAGAGACCAGGCCTGGCCTCCTCTCACCCAGCCCATCCTGCCTCTTCTCCCCCTCAGGCCACGTCAGTGTCTGCACCCTCCGTGGGTGACTTTGACAACATGCTCGCCTCAATTTTTATCATAAACCCCAGCATTTTTTTTTCCCTCTCTCTAAAATGTAACAGCCAAGCAGAAGCAAAGAGGAGTTTATCCAGTTGGCCGCCAGCTTCCAGCTGAGGTGGAATTTCCTCCTCACGGCGGTGAGCAGAGCCATGACCCTCTGTCACAGAGACAGCTTCGGTAAGTCCGAGAACACACAGTGTTGTGAAGCCTGCCTGTCACAGCTGTGGTCACAGCCTCAGGGCTTTCCACATGGCCACATGAAACCCACTCACCATCTTCTCGCCTATTTATGTAAAATACAACACGGACACAGAGAATCACACAAAACCACGCTAATCTTTTTATGACGACAACATGATAATTCATCAAATGGTTGGGCCCTGCCTCACTCTCCTGTCCATGAAAATAATCAGTAAACAATCAAAAATAAGAACAAAGTTTTACTTGAGCCAGACTGAAGACTCGCCCTCCCAGGTAGCACTAGTGGTAAACAATCCTCCTGTCAATGCCGGAGTTGTGGGTTCAATCCCTGGGTCAGGAAGATCCCCTAGAGGAGGGCATGGCAACCCACTGCAGTGTTCTTGCCTGGAGAATCCCATGGACAGAGGAGCCCGGTGGGCTACATTCCATGGGGTCACAAGAGTCAGACACGAGTGAAGCAACTTAACACACACACATTAGGACTAGCCCACAAGCCTGCTCCCCAGATGACCCTGAGAAGCTGCTCTGGAAAGCAGCACAGTTTCATATCTTGTCAGAACAAAGAACATTAAACAAGTCAGGCTTACATTTCTTCAAGATTAAAAAAGAGAGAGACCAGCATGCACACAGCAAGTCAGCATGGCCTTGGCACCTGGAAACGGAGTCATCATTGAAGGAGGACCAGCACTGGCATCCCCGGAAGGGAGGCATTTAATCTTTGTTTCCAACATGGACGTTCTTTACTTCTGGTCAATATGTCCTTTTCTCTAACATTCAAAGCAGAGGACCTGTGTAGGGTTGATAGGCCACGAGTTTGATACTATTTTCGTTAGCATCAGAGTCAGGCTCACTCATGTATAAAGCCAGATGCCTCCTCTAGAGTTCAATATGTAGAAGTTTCTTTTATCATCCCCCTGCCATCATTGCCAGATACGCAGGAAACCTCCCCTGATTTTTGAATTATCTGCTTTGGGACATTCTGAGAAAAGAACCAGGCACCCTCTTTTACTCCCAACCAAAACGGAGGGGAAAGATGGGTTCTTTGGGGCACCTGGACTTAACTTCCAGGAATAACAATTGATAAAGCTGCCTCTGAGGGCTTCCCTGCTGACTCAGACAGTAAGGAATCCACCTGCCCACGCAGGAGACCTGGGTTCAATCCCTGGATCGGGATGATGCCCTGGAGAAGGGAATGGTTACCCACTCCGGTATCCTTGCCTGGAGAATTCCGTAGACAGAGGAGCCTGGTGTCACAAAGAGCTGGGCACGACTGAGTGACTGACGCCGCTGTGTGGAGAAGAATAAAGCAGAGTCTGTCTTGCAAACTTTCTTGTCAAGTGGATGGTCTTCCTGTGCTGGCAGATGTCTCACCTGTCACAGCTGTGGTGCTGACGCACAGCACAGGAGAGCCGTGGGAGGGACCATCACCCCTGAGGCCCGCAGGAGGGGATCACTCGTTTCCACAGATACCTGTGCATCCCTGCAAAGTCCCAGGCACCTTCCTGGACACTGGACACACAGCCGTGGACAGACAGACAGAGCCTCCACCACACGAGCTCGCACACCAGTCAGGGGGAGGAACCCCTGCCCCAGGGCAGCCAGAGGCCCCTGCGGCGGGTACGGGGGTCGGGAAGAGCGGACAGAGAGCAGACATGCCATATTCCAGACCATTCTGCAAACTCCGGTCTCCTTGGAGGGTTTTGGCTGTAAGCAGCCACACAGGTGACACCCATTCATCGTGAGGCTCTGTCCACGGAGGTCAGGATGACAGGCTTAATGTTGATGCAGAGTTCAGGTACAACCACAAAAGGAAAACCAGCCCTTTCAGTCGGTGGTACTGCCAAATGAAAAAAATGCACAACTTGAAAGTTAAGAGTAACGTTTTATTCAGTGGACAAAACTGAGGACTTAAGCCTAGGACACAGCATCTCAGGTAGCTCTGAGGGACTGAAGAGGTGAGGGGCAGAACCAGGCTGTATATGAGTTTTTTGCAACAAAGACCACGTAGTGGGAACATCAAAAGTTTGCTGTTGATTAAAGAAAACCTGACATCTCAAGTTAAGGAATTTGTGTGTGTGTGTGTTAGTCGCTCAGTCATGCCCGACTCTTTGCGACCCTGTGGACTGCACCCCGACAGGCTCCTCTGTCCATGGGATTCTCCAGGCAAGAATACAGAAGTGGGTTGCCATGCCCTCTTCCAGGGGGTCTTCCCGACCTAGGGATCGAACCTGGGTCTCCTGCATTGCAGGCAGATTCTTTACCATCTGAGCCACCAGGGAAGCCCTAAGGAATTTAGTGCTCTTCTATTTATGGGAGGATGCAAGAGTCTAGGCTCACTGAAATCATTCCTTCAATATGCTTCTCAGCTCGCCAGAGCCAGTATCCTGTGTTTTCTCATCCTGAGTCTCCTCAGGGGGTGCTGTTGGGGCGGCTGCAGCAGATGATTACTAGATGAGGGGTGGACACCTTGCCTGCATCCTGAGTTCCCCCAGGGCTCATTGTCGGGGGCTGTGATGTGATGGCTTGATGGCTGCAGCATCCTTTGTTTACTCACAGAGTGGGTGCCATTCTTGGTCAACAGTGGTTTCCCCCTCCACCTTTTTGGACCTTCATATGAAGTCAGAGTACTCACTACCACCCGTCTTTCCTCTGCACATGGACCGTGGTTTCACAAAGTCAAAGAAGCAGAGTTGTTTCGGGGTCAGACTTATTCCAGACCAGGCCATGTCATGCCACAGAACCAGGTTCTCTCACCCAAGACCTAGCAGAGATGAGTGGCCGTGTGCAAAGTTTTGACTTGGACAGAAAGGGTCAACACACCCTTTTGGGGTTGGTGCCACCTTCATGGTCTGAGTTATTTTACAGATCTTGTAAATTGTATCAAACAGGTAATATGGTTCTCCTGCCCAGAAATGCAAACTATAGTATGTCAGGTGGGTGCAGCTGAGGACAGCCGTGTGGCATCTATTTGTAAATTAACGTCAGCGGCATTCTTTACGTCTGTGTATGTTTAGTCCTTTGAATTCTTTTTTAAATTTAATTTTTATTGGAGTATAATCGCTTTACAATTATACTGTTGGTTTCTGCCGTACAACAACATGAATTGGCTACATGTATACATATGTCCCCTCCTCCTGGGCCTCCCCCCCACTGCCCCATCCCTCCCCCATCAGTCATCACAGAGCACCTGGCTGAGCTCCCAGTGCTATAATCAGTTGCAGCAGCTTGCTTATTCTCTCATTAATTGAGTCCCATAAAATCTTTGAAATGCATTCATTTTACATCTGTGTGAGAATCATGGTTTTATCTTCATTAAAAAATTACCTTTTGATGTTTGGCAGAAACCAACACAATTCTGTAAAGCAATTATCCCTCAACTAAAAAATAAATAAATTTAAAATAAAGAAAGATTTTTAAAGACTAATTTTAAAAATTATCTTTTAAGAATTGTTCTAGGCCAGATCTCCCCCAACCCTGTTTCTCAACTGAACGCTAATTATCCTTTTGTTCTCTGGAGCCAGAGGCCTTGGGATTCAGAGCACTCAGCTGGCCCCTGCCCGCCAGCTCCCTAATGACAGCCCGAGCCCCTCACCGGTTCCCCCAGGAGATGCAGCCAGGTAGTGGGCGGTCGAGGGGCTCGCTCTCCGCCTCTGGGAAGGGCGCCCGTTCGTCTGCAGGGCGGCCCTCCCCCCGTCTCGCAGCAGCTGTGCTGATGTTCCCCGTCGTGAATCAGCTCACTGAGCCTGTGCTAAGCCGCCTTTGGGGTCCTCTGGGTATGGGATGCTGCAAGGGTGGTGGATGCTGCAGAGGCTCTTGGGCTTTGCCAAGAGGAGTGAGGCTCTAGTGCACAGGAGCTGAGCGCCCTGGAAAAGCTGTTCGTTCCACTGGGATCTGCTTATCTGTCCATCTGTCTGTCTGCTTATTCACTGGGGGGTTGTTATTTTAATGTAGGCTCCTGGCACCTGTTCCATTTGCTGCTTTTGGAATATGTGATTCACATACTTCAGTCGTGCATTGAGGAGGAAGAGGAGGACGACGACGTGGGAAGTCTCAAGGAGACACTGCCAGATGGCCAGTGTCCTGTCCAGCCAGACCATGAGCCCCACCACCCTCCAGACTGCCCCCCAGCTCAGGAGTGTGAAAGCCTGAGTGCAGATCCCCCCCGGGTGATGCTCAGATGCAGGGACCAGAGCCCCGGTGCCACGGCGGGGAGCAGTGTGGTGGTCAGGGTGCCCGGCTTCCTGGTGGACACCGTCACGGGCAGCAAGGTAGGCACACCGTGGCCCGTCTCCCGTCCAGCAGAGTTCTCAGGGGAGTGAGAACCCGGGGGTTAGGAAACCCAGGCGCTGTGCTTAGTCACTCAGTGGTGTCTGACTCTCTGCAATCCCATGGATTCTAGCCCGCCAGGCTCCTCTGTCCATGGAATTCTTCAGGCAGGAATACTGGAGTGGGCTGTCATTCCCTTCTCCAGGGGGTCTTCCCAACCTAGGGACTGAACCCAGGTCTCCTGCATTGCACGCAGATTCTTTACCCTCTGAGCCACGAGGGAAGCCCTAAGAATCGAGGGGGTTATACATTGTCCAAACAAGGACACAGGATTCTAGATTCATCTCTGCTTTAAGCTATTTTGCCAGTGTGTCTGTTGACCACTGCTCAGCTCCGAAACGTGCCTGGTTTGATGAGAGCTGAGGAGCACGGGGACAGCTGTCACCTGGCCCTCCCAGAGCCTGCTTGGCGTGAACAGGCTCGCTGGGCAGCAGATCACTACACCCGAGAGGAGTGACGTGTACTGAAAATGCCTTTGGCAGCGTTTAAAGAAAGGAAACGCTGAGTAGTCTGAGTACAAAGGATTTTTGAAAGGATGGAATTGGCTTCCATCTTGAAAGATAAAAAAATAAGGATTGCAGGAATTCCCTGGTAGTCCAGTGGGTAGGACTCTGCACCCGCAGTCTCAGGGCCTGAGGTTTGATCCCTGGTTGGGAAATTAGGATTCTGAAAGCCTTGCAGCATGGCCCCAAAAATTAAAATAATGAAAACTAAGGCGATTTCTCTGGTGGTCCAGTAGCTAAGACTCCACACTCCCAATGCAGGGGACCTGGGTTCGATCCCTGGTCAGGGAACTAGATCCCACGTGCTGCAGCTCAGACCTGGGGCAGCCAAGTAAATTTAAAAATATATATTAAAAAAATAATAAAAGTAAGAATGGCTACTTATCGAATGTACTGTGCACACTTGATATATATTGTCTCAAAGCCATACAACCCTGCACAGTATCTGTTCTTATCATTTTCATGCCATGGATGAGGAAACAGAGGCTCAGAAAAGCTAAGTGAGAGGCCCAGAGTCACACAGCAAGTCAACTGCAGAACGGAGGCTGACACCCTGGCCTGCCTGATCTCGTCATTCTTCTCCTACAATGCTAGATGGGAGGAGGGTGGTCCAGGCCCCCAGAAGAGTAGGACACAGGATGCAGAGATCTGAGATGGGGTCTCGAATGCCAGGGAGGGTAGGCACATTCAGCAGGAAGTTCAGCTGGATGTGAGGCAGGGGAGTGGGCTGGTTGGGGAAAAAAACCTTGACAACTGTCAGTAGTAATTTCTAAAACTCCTGCACACATGTTTGGAAGCTTAGCCTCTTTACGTGGCATTCTTTTCATATCCACAAGTTCCCCTTTTGAGTAGATGAGTCTGCTTAGGAGACCACTGAAGGCAGGGGCGTGACCTCAACCTGGATGAAATGTGGTCAGAGCCACATGGCTGAGTCACAGCTGGAACTGTCTGTGCCCTGCATGCATGCTAAGTCGCTTCAGTCATGTCCAGCTCTTTGTGACCCCATAGACTGTAGCCCACCAGGCTCCTCTGTCCGTGGGATTCTCCAGGCAAGAATACTGGAGTCAGTTGCCATTTCCTTCTCCAGGGGATCTTCCCAACCCAGGGATCGAACCTGTGTCTCCTGCATGGCAGCTGGGTTCTTTACTACTAGCACCACCTGGGACGCCTGTCCATGCCCTGCAGTCCTTCCCCATCCCAAGCACACAGAACCTCGGCAGACTGTTACAGAGCTAGACTGGACGAGACACCCACTGGTCTGGACAAATGAAACCGGAGCAAAAGAGCCACTTCTCACAGTCAACAGCCCTCTGTCTCCATCAGGCGTTCATTTGCTGACCTCGCGATAGTAAACTCCACACCCAATGCTTCCTGCTCTCGGTGCTAGAGACGCTACTGTGTGTCTGTAAATAGGAGACTCATCTCCCCTGGGAGTGTGTATATGAAGCCGACAAGCAGAAGAGGCCGGGCCCAGGAGAACACTGGCCCCCCGTCAGGGGCTGGGGGGGCAGTGCTGGGCCACCGAGAGAAGGAGCCGAAGGGGGCGGTTCAGGCTCCACTCACTGAGCTGGTGATTCAGGGCCGTGGGCAGAGAGAAGGCCCAGCTGGGTCTGGAGGAGGGACAGGTTGGCCAGACTGTACCCTAGAGAGCCCTCTCCTGGCCCCTGACCCTCTGGAGAACACACCCTGTCCTGGTAACAGGACCCGTCAGGGGGCTTACCCCAGTCGCTTGGGAGCGCTAACAGGACGCGTGTCTGAGCTGGACGTTCAAGTCTGATGATTTGGGAAAATATCTGTAGCCCACTGTGAGCAGTTCTGGTACATAACTTCCTGGGTTCAAATTCCACGCCCTCCACTTAAGCGGGTTTCCTAGGTGGCTCAGTGGTAAACCTCCCCTGTCCATTCAGGGGGCTCGGGAAGATGCCCTGGAGAAGGAAATGGCAACCCACTCCAGTATCCTTGTCTGGGAAATCCCATGGACAGAGGAGCTGAGAACCTTGGGGAGGTTGCATTATTTGTCTGCTCTTCAGCTTCCTCTTCTACAAAATGGAAATAAAGACATCTAATTCCATAGGCTATAATGATGTTAATGATGATAATAAGTTAATTATTTGTAAAATTCTTAGAAGCATAAAAAGTACCCATAACCCTAGTCATTGTTGTTATTTCTCCAACAAAACCTCCTAATCTGAACACCTTTCCAGAACATTCTCTACCCAGTCCCCAGCCACTCTGAAGTTTATTGCAATGGGTGCACTCCACCTATATTTAATTGGTGGCAACAGTAGAGAGGACATTAAATAATTGAACAACACAATAAAGCAATACAAGCAGATAAATGTCAGATAATCCAAGGTAATATGCATTAGAGATTAATTAAACCTGCTTGTGCTCGGGTGAGCCTGCCAAATTAGCTATAATGACTTAAACACTCTAACACTGAAAAGTTAGGCTCATCTAATTTCCATTGCACTCACTAGTCAGCATGTGCACTTGTCTTCAGCAAAAAAGCACACGCTCAGGGTCCCATCTGCTCTCATCTACCACAAGTTAACACCTGCTCAGCCGCACCTCTGGGGCTGCCCACCCCGAACAGTTCAGCTCAGTCCCTGCGCCCAACTCAAGTCAAAAGCCCCCCCACCACTTCCATCTGTCGCTTCTCTCTATTGTACCCGTGCTCAAAATAGTAAGATGCCAAGGCATGTCTTAAGAATAAAGGGAAAGTTATACTGATATTAAATAAAGGCCATTCTCCTTAACCTGGCAACCAGTTCCAGTATTCTTGCCTGGGAAATCCCACGGACAGAGGAGTCTGGTGGGCTACAGTCCGTGGAATTGCAGAGAGTCGGACACGACTGAGCATGCGCGCGCGCGCACGCACGCACGCACGCACACACAGAGTTTTCAGTTTGGGTCATATACTCAAGCATTAAAGTGTGGCAAAAATATTTTAAAATAAGTGACTTCAGCCACAAGGTAAAGATGAAGACAGGTGGTATTTGTTTTTTTGTTTGTTTTTTGTTTTGAGAGACAGAAGAAAAACATCTTTTCATTGGTTGTTGATGGTTATCATTGAGTTTATGGAGAATGGGTGAGATATATACTTTCATTAACCTTGCATTCAAAGTTATCTTTTGCACATCTTGGTCAAAATATGCTAGCTTATGGGGATGGAGGTGGGGGGCCACTGTTTAAGAAATCAGACCAAGAAAATACATCTCTGTCAGTTTGAAAGTAATCACATCCGAGGATTTGCCCACCTTTCGAATACCCTTGGAGCTGAGGGTGGCGTATTATCCTTGTTTCTCCGATAGGAAGGTTTGCTCAGGCAACTTGATGACTGTCTGAGAGCCAACATCAGAGTCTGTGAATGTCTCCTGTCAGTTACTACCCTATAGTGTGTTAATGTAACCCATGAAAGTCTTCACAGGCTTCCTCCTTTATATACTGGTCTATTTGGCCAGTGGTGGAGGGAGGGTCTATGTGGGAACTTAAGCCAACGGTGTCGGCTCAGAGGGTCAGTATCCATCTGGAAAGCAGACAAGGTGCTGAGAATTACAGCTGCAAGGAGACCCGTGGGCACTTCACAGGCTCCCTCCTGACTTTCACAACCAACCCGGGCTCTCTGAGTCTGTTTTAATTTTTAATTTTTTGGCCGAGCTTCATGGCATGAAGGATCCTAGTTCCCCAACCAGGGATCGCACCGGTGCCTCCTGCATGGCCGCACGGGATCTTAACCCCTGGGCTGCCGGGGAAGTCCCTCCCCGTGCCTAAAATGGCAGTGTTGCTTCCCTCTCTGGCCTCACAAACACCTGCAGTGCTCCCATCCTTCTCCTCAAGGGAGCCACCTGCTCCCACTCTTGCACCAACACTCAACACCCTCTCTTGTGCCATCCTGGGTTTGAGATTCCTTCCACAAGATTCCTGTCTTCAGCAGCCCGAGTGCTCCCCTGGGAAGTCGGGGTCCCCCGCACTAGCTCCAGGGTGAGATGAGCGTGTGGTAGAAGAATTCAAATGGTGGGTCCTGAAACAGAAAAGTGTAACTGTCTCTTTTCATCTTTTCTTCTAAACACCACCTGCCCGCCCCACCCACCCCACACAGCTCATCCAGGTATTGTTGGAAGATAGAGCCACAGAAAACACCATCAAACTCAGCCTTCCTCTGGGACAAGAGACCCTCATAACCCTGACAGATGGACAAAAATTTGTGATCCACATATCGGATGTATCCCAAAGCTCTGAGGATATTTATCTTAGGGAAAGTAATGCTGACATGGGAGATTATTTATTGGACTGAGAAAACATACATTTTTTTCATTCTTAAGAATAGAGTAAATGATAATACTTTTTTATTGGTGAGAAAGAAGATTTTGTGTAAATAATAGAGGTAGCACTGTTTTCTGTTTATATGTATTTCAAGGAATTGGTTTTGATGAATCATATAAACTGATTTGGAGAATAATTTTTGCCTCTGTTGCCTTTCTTCGGGGCTTTCCCGGTGTTTCTGTGGGGACTTGAGAGAAATTAGAGAAATCTTGTTGGTAATAAAAACATTGGTCATTCTCCAGTGAAAGATAAAGTTTGTAGAATAGCAACTAATACAAGCAGTCAAAGGCTCCGCATAATAGTTTTCTTCCCCTTAGTAGTACCCTAATCAACATACAGTTTGTAGAAAGATCCCCTCAGGCCTTGAGAAAGAGGGGGAAAACTCAATTATTTGGTAGTACTGTTAGACTTACTCACTGCTTCAATATAGCAGGGATCCCCAACCCCTGGGATCTAATGCCTGATGATCTGAGGTGGAGCTGATGCAATAATAATGGAAATAAAGTGCACAAGGGATGTAATGCACTTAAATCATCCCCCAGCCCCCAGTGCATGAAAAAATTGTCTTCCAAGAAACCAGTCCCTGGTGCCAAAAAGTTTGGGGACCCCTGCTAAAGATCCCACCTTGGCTTCATTCACATGGCTCTTTTCTTAAAGTGATATGGAACTATGAATCCAACAATATCTGCCACAAATGTGGATGTCCTGCTGATGCTCTGTTCTTCTCTAGCAAAATCCTAAAAAAATCCTGAAACTAAGCATAGATCCCTGCTAAACCAGACCATTTTTAATGTAACCGATTATGATATTTGAAAGGAATTTAACAATTCCTGCTTAACACAATGTCTGGGAGCAGTGGAAATAAGGGAATGTTTTATTGATCTATTACATAAGAAATGAATTAAATTTCCTGAAATGCTTGGGAATTTTAAAGAAAACATCAGAAAACTCTAGATCACTAGATTCATTAGGAATTATTCATCATCATGGTTTAAAAAGTAATCATGTTTTAGAGCCTTTACTATTACATTGAATATGTGATCTCATTTCTTAAGCCATCTGGGAGCAGTTATTTGTCAAAAAGAAAAAACAAAAACCCCACACTCAGAGGCCCTCATCCCTTGGCTTACTGTTCAGTGACTTTGCATATCCTTTGCTCACATCTAAGCAGACAGGTGATGGGCCGAGTCAGGGAACAAAGGCGACAATAACCGCTATGGGTCCGGGAACAGTGAATTGTGTCTGCATACTTTGGGGTAAACTGATGAGCCGAGAGCGGGCAGAGGGCATTCGTCCTTGAAAAGACCATCCAGGCAACCAAAGAAAATTCCACTTCTCTGTTTATCTACAGGGTTTGAAGTTAGGCGAGGGGGTGGGGGAGGGTGGGTAGTAACAGAGGAGAGGAAGGGGCTTCTGGGGCCCTCATCCGGTGCAGCTCTTGGTCTGGGGGTGGCCCTACGGCATGTTCGCCTTGTAAAAAATGTGTTTCAAAGCTTCACATTTGCTTTGACTGCTTTTCTGTATATGTTCTATATGACATCGTACTTTTAAAAACAGAAGTCTGTGCACGTAGGGAGGGGGTGGGGGAGAGAAGGACAGGGAGTTTGGGGGTTAGAGAACTATTATTATAAACTACTACAGTGAGTGCTGAGTGCTCAGTCACTTCAGTTGTGTCTGACTATTTGTGACTGTAGCCTGTCAGGCTCCTCTGTCCATGGGATTCTCCAGGCAAGAATACTGGAGTGGGTTGCCATTTCCTTCTGCAGGGTATCTTCCCAACCCAGGGATTAAACACATGTCTCTTTAAGTCTCCTGCATTGCAGGTGGACTTTTACTGCTCAGCCACCAGGGAAGCTCATAAACTACTACAAACTACATATATATACACACACACTACTGTTATATATAGGACCAATGAACAACAAGGTCCTACTTATAGCATAGGGCACTATGTTCAACATCCTGTGATAAACCATCATGGGAAAGACTCTTTTAAAAAGAAGGTCTATATGTGTATGACTAAACCACTTTGCTCTACAGAAGAGATTGGCACAACATCACCAATCAACGATACTTCAATAAAAAGCTTAAATTAAAAAAAAAAGAAATCGGTGCACACATTGTGGAGATTGTGCCGGGGGTTCCCAGTAGGAGAGAAGGAGGCTAAAGAAGCACACAGGATTTGGAAAGCAGCGAGGGCCCTGTATTTCTCGTTCCCCGTCATCGGCAGGTGCTTGGATGGTTCTGCTCATCTGGACTCGGCAAGCCTGGGCTGGGCTCACTCAGCCAGCTGCTGTCCCTGACAGGCCTGTGGGGGCCGGCAGGTCTAGGGTGGTCTCCCCTGAGGTCCCTAGACTCCTCTCCTACGTCCCTCCAGCAGCCCAGCCCAGGCATGTTCTCACAGCAGAGCTGGGGGCCAAGGAAGCAGACATAGAAGCAGGTTTTCATGCGTCTGTTTGCATCAGTGCCTGTCCCAGCACCCAAAGCAAAGTGGAGATGGTTCTAGGAAAGGGTGTGCACATGGGGAATGTCGAATGGGTGGATTTTTCCAATCTGCCGTATCACAGTCAGTGCTACCTGCTACCCAAATCATTATCCCAGATGGTTGATTAGGAGGACAGTTTTGTAGAAGAATGACCTGCTCAAGGTCATTTGGACAACAGTGAGACCCTGATCATCAGAACAGGGTCCACAGTCACCCCACAGCATCATCCACTCTGACATTTTGACAGCACTGCCTTCATGCAACATAACCTGATACAAAACATAGACATTAGCTCCTTAGTGCTGCAAAGAGCCCGCAGTAGTTTCTGAAATAGTCATATTAAGTAGGAATAACAGTGAGAACTTGTACAGATGGAAATCTCCCCAGGGCACATCGCTGACTGTCAGTGTGGGGCCTACAGGGAGAGCAGCACATCAAATTTCCTTCACCTAATAATAACTACACCCACGTAGATCTTGGAACAGGAATTTTCACTCATGATGATGGTGAGTTGGAGGCCCACTAACACTCTGTCAGTGGATTTTTCCAAAACCAGAAATTTGATCTAAAATGTAGAGTGATGTGTTCCAAATTTATCATGCATTCTTCTGCCAGGTACTTTTTAAATATGGGGGATCATCAATGAACAAAAGAGGCATCTCCCTGCTTTTAGAGGATGAAGAAGTTCAGAACAAGCCTCCCCAGAATGTTCCACTTTGGCATGGGGGCCCTGCAGGCTTCAAAGAAATATATTCCCTCCCTTGACTACCTATACTTGACTCTAATACTCTGGCCACCTGATGTGAAGAGCCAACTCATTGGAAAAGATCCTGTCACTGGGAAAGATTGAAGGCGAAAGGAGGAGGGGGTGGCAGAGGATGAGATGGTTGGATGGCATCACCAACTCAATAGACATGAGTTTGAGCAAACTCTGGGAGATAGTGAAGGACAGGGAAACATGGTGTGCTGCAGTCCATGGGGTCACAAAGAGTCAGACACTTTGCAACTGAACAACAACAACCTTGACTACCTAAAAGAATTTAAAGCCAAGAAGAGAGTCCTCGCCAAATATCTGCTGGCCCCTTTACCCTGAACTTCCCAGCTTTCAGAACCATGAAAAATAAATGTCTTTTGTTTGAGCCACCTAGCCTATGGTATTTTGTTATAGCAGCCCAGACTAAGACAGCCCTTTGTCCCACTTTGAGTGACATTAAGAATTGAGATTGGTCAGTGGACTCAGGTGTGATGTGGACCAGGCTGATCCTTCCATTATAGGATTCCACATCAACATTTCATTTAATAATTTTTATATTGATTATTGCTGCCTATACTGATTGATTCATTCAGTTCTGTTCAGTCACTCAATCATGTCCGATTCTTTGCAACCCCATGGACTGCAGCATGCCAGGCTTCCCTGTCTGTCACCAACTCCTGGAGCTCGCTCAAACCTATGTCCATCCAGTAAATCAGGTGGCCAAAGTACTGGAGTTTCAGCTTCAGCATTGGTCCTTCCAGTGAATACTCAGGACTGATTTCCTTCAGGATGGACTGGTTGGATATCCTTGCAGTCTAAGGAACTCTCACGAGTCTTCTCCAACACCACAGTTCAAAAGCATCAATTCTTCCACTTTCAGCTTTCTTTATGGTCCAACTCTCACATCCGTATATGACTACTGGAAAAACAATAGCTTTTAGTAGATGGACCTTTGTTGGCTTTTTAATATGCTTTTTAACATGCTGCCTAGATTGGGCATAGCTTTTCTTTGAAGGAACCAGAGTCTTTTAATTTCATGGCTGCAGTCACCATCTGCAGTGATTTTGGAGCCCAAGAAAAGAAAGTCTGCCATTGTTTCCATTGTTTCCCCATCTATTTGCCATAAATTGATGGGACTAGATGCTATGATCTTAGTTTTTTGAATATTGAGTTTTAAGCCAGCTTTTTCACTCTCCTCTTTCACTTTCATCAAGAGGCTCTTTAGTTCCTCTTTGCTTTCTGCCATACGGGTGGCGTCATCTGCATATCTGAGGTTATTAATATTTCTCCTGGCAATCTTGATTCCAGCTTGTGCTTCATCCCCAGAATTTCTCATGATGTACTCTACATATAAGTTAAATAAGCAGGGTGACAATATACAGCCTTGACATACTCCTTTCCCAATTTGGAACCAGTCTGTTGTTCCATGGCCGGTTCTAATTATTGCTTTTTTGACCTGCATACAGATTTCTCATGAGGCAGGCAAGGTGATCTGGAATTCCCAAATCTTTAAGAATTTTCCACAGTTTGTTGTGATTCACACAGTCAAAGACTGCGGTAGTCAATGAAGCAGAAGTAGACATTATTCTGGAATTCTCTTGCTTTTTCTGTATGATCCAACAGATGTTGCAAAATGATGACTTTTTCAATCTTATAATTGTGTCTAGACATATTCGCTGGAATTCACATAGAAAGCAAATTTTTCCCTCATCAACAGTTTGGTTGTTGCTGTTGTTCAGTCACCTAGTCGTGTCCAGCTCTTTGTGACCCCATGAACTGCAGCATGCCAGGCCTCCCTGTCCCTCACTATCTCACGAAGTTTGCCCAAGTTCACGTTCATTGCATCAGTGACGCCATCCCGCCATCTCATCCTCTGATGCCCTCTT